TGGAGTAAAATGTTTTGGTCTCTGCATGTGATAACTTGTAGAAATAATGTCTATAATCAATGTGTTTTATTATTTCTAACAGAGCATCAATGCTGAACCGGACCTCCTCGTCTCTCCTGGTTCTGATTCTGAGTTCTGCTGCTCTGGGTGAGAAAATATGACTGAATGTTTTAAACTGAACTTTAACTCAGAGCATGAAGGACGTCTCAGGTTTCTAGGAATAATTAGCAGATCTGATATCACTGGATCTATTTCCTGTCTGTGTTTTGATCACAACTTTTCATCTGAGCCGTTAAATAAACTTTTACCTGAAGCTTCGTGAGAAAATGTTTTAAATCGTCCGTCAGCGTCTGAAACATCAAATCCTGGATATTTGGAGGTGTGATGATGCATCAGATTATCAGAACTACTTCATCAAAGTGTTTCTGAGGATTTGTGTTGTGATTTCTTGCTTCTGTCTCTTTCTGACTCCTGCAGGAAAATCTCTGCCCACCGTGAATGAAACTCTGGACGTCTACGAGGCCGAGGAGAACTCCAACGTCACGCTGAAATGGATCCGTCCGGATCCGAACGCCACGCCGCCTGACCGGCTCTACGTCGATCTGATGAGCATGGAGCCGCTGAGGAGGATTTATCGGTTCGACAGCAGAGATGAGACGTACACAGATGATGAGTTCAAAGGTCGACTGCACTGTGACCCCCAGCTGGTCAGGAATGGAGGGATCCGGTGTCTCCTGGCTGAAGTGAGGCTCAGCGATGCGGGTCGGTACCGGTGCTACGTCGTCATTGACGGAAGAAGAGACCATAGAGACTGGGAGCTTGTAGTCAGAGGTGAGTTTTTACTGATAAAAATGGTTTAATCTTTATTTTCTGGTCTTTTTTATGTTTTCCACTTTATTTTTGGGTCTGAAAAGCTGCATTTTCATTACAAATGTTTATTACAAATTGTCTTTGATATTTCACAAATGTAAAAAATGAAGAAAAAAAAGAAAAAATTTTACAGATACAGTGTTTCCATTGAATAAGAAATACAATTAAAATCACATGTGAATAATTTTATTCATGCAATAAGTCATTAAAAACATGGATGAGTCAAATGTTAAGACCCAGAAAATTCTTCTTCTTCTTCTTAAATGCGTTTTTCCAAAATCGGGTTGTTTCCATGAAGCAAATTTTCTTTCATAATTTCATTTTACAGAGTTTTAACATCAATGGAGACGCAGCTACTGATTTATTCTTGATTCTTTCTTTGCAGCTTCCATTCCTCAGACTCAGGAGGAAACCCAAGAGCTGGTGGATCGCGGGAGGTTTGGACTTTATGTTGGTTTGGGTTTGTTCCTGCTGGCAGCAGGACGACTCGCCCTCCACTCTGCTGCTGGTTCAGGTTTCAGGTTCAGCTCATCAAACTCCAGGACATAGATTCACCAAAAATCCACAATCAGAATCACTCCCAATATTTTTTATTTTTTTTATCATGACCCGATTTTGTGTTAGAGGAGGCCTTATGACCTTATGACCTTATGACCTCCCCAAAGATTGCCCCGTCTTCAGTCCCTATTGGACTTGGAGCTCCAGCTGCTGTGTGTTTTATGGTTTCCAGAAACTGAGTTCTGCAGAATGAGCAGAACTTGTTCTGGAAATATTTTGGTTCGTTACAAATGCACTTTGCACTTTGCACTTTGCCGACAGCGCTACAGAAACGGTGCTGCTATCAGTGGAATCACGGGAGGGAAATATTACACTGAGAAAACAGTTTCTACCTCATAGAAGTAGCGCATAAACATGGCCGACCGTCGTTCTTCCTTTGGCCAAAAGGTTGGTGGGACGATTTACGGCCATGTCACAGGTTGTGGTGTCGTTGAGCCAGACACCAAATCCCTGAACTAGCTACCTCGACGGCTCGGATGTAGGAATGTAGACTGAGGTCTTATTTTAAATAAGCTTGTTTACAAAAATGCTATGCATGGAACAAGGTCAGATGTTACTGATGTTTAACTGTGATGTGATTCGTCTAATTTTGAGACGACAATCAACAAAGTGTCAATAAGCAACAAACTGAATCCTTGAATAGCTACCTCCATGGAGGAAAAGGTATTAACCGGTTTCCATGGCTGTAAAGCAGGAAACATGGCGGACCATGTATGGCTCATCCTTCAGTTCAGAGGTTTGAGGCCAAAGAAACTCTGAGTCTCTTTGGCCTCAAACAGAAAACTAGATCACGTCTGAATGGCTTTAAGCTGTTAAAGTGGTCACAGAGGAGAAGTGCATTGTGGGAAATGGTGTTTTGTAGAAGAAAACTCTAAATACCAGGAATGCAAAGATGCATGATGATCATTTTGGTAAAGAATACTGCTGCCCCCTTGTGGTCAGAGACTGGAAAACGACCCAAACTGGAAACACAGCCATAAATAAGATTTTTAGTTCAGCCTCAGTTTGAAGATCTGAACTGCAGATGTTACAGTTTCTTTGTTTTTATCTGTAATATTGAGACAATAATTATTGATGATGTTGTTTCAAGTCACTGAAATGACGACTCAGCTGCATTGATGTTCAGTTTCAGTTCAAAGCAGCAGAACAAATAAAAATGCTGAATGAATTTGAGACGATGAAAGTTTCTAAATCAAAGAATCTCATCTTTAAATCTTTAAACTGAGTTTTCAACATGATGACGATCTGCTGGCCTGATGCACAACTGGCTTCATAAAAATGAACAAAAACAAACAAATTGTCATTTCTGGCTGTTAAAACATATAAAAAATATTCAGTAGGATCAAATGTTGACCTGAATGGTTTAATTATTCTATATAATCTGTTGGTGGTTCAATCCAACGACTTTAAATCTCCAGATTCTCTCATTAAACTTTATTGATCACTGATGTGAAAAACAGCATCAAACCAGCAGCTTTGCTCTCATATTGAATGAAACATTTTCTCTTTCTGTCATTTATTCTCATGTTCCAGTTCATTTGCTAGAAGAAAACGTTCAGGGTTAAAAAATAGGACAAGTCATCATTGTATCTATATAATCACATCTGATCTATATGAGAAATTCAAAGAAATATTCCCAAATTGAAAATATTTCCTTCATGTTTTTCTGTAACTTTAATGTCAGTAAATCAATAAACTGATTGCAAATGTCTGTCTGTGTGAACATGTGGAGTTTAAAGGTTAATTTCTACATACAGTCTGCAGAAATCTCAGAGCAGCTGGAAAATATTTTAGTTTCTAAGTTTTGAAAAAAAATGTTGAGACATTAAGAACTAAAAATACATTTAAATATTTTCTCATATTTTTCTCACTCAGGAGAAAATGAAATATTAATAAATGAGTAATTAGTGTTTTAACTCTGGTGGTTATGATGCATCTGAGAGTCTGTTGGATTGTAAAGACTCTGATATTATTATTATAAAGCTTCTGTGTTGATGCTCATATAAGAAACAAACAGCAAATGAATCATTTTAATTAATAAGTTTTATAAAGTAACAAAAATTAAATACAAAAATTGATCAGCTGATCGACGTCCAGATATTGATCATTTCTGAAGCAGCAGCTCCTCTTCATCACTTTCTATAAATAAACTCATTTGGCCTTAATGTGGGTTTTACCGTTTTGTTTTTGTCCAGCATTTTGTTATATAATCAATAAAACAAACAATTTATCATAAATGTTAGAAAATAAAACTTAACGGTGAATATTAATGATGGACAAAATATAAAAACAGAACAAATCAAACTGAACCGATCCAGTCGGTCCATCACTCAGACCTTCAGCTCTATAAGCTCACAGTTCCTAACTCCACCACCAGGTGGCGCTCCAGTAGAACCCTTGATGGTAGAACTGGTCTGAGGTCAGATCCAGCAGCTGGATTGGTTCTGCTGAGGTCCAAACGGCTGCAGCTCATGTTGGATGTTAAAAGGTTCTGCAGAGAATCAGGTTCTGACAACATGAGGGAAGAAATCTGGATTTATTTACAGCAGAACCTTCAGAACCAGAACCAGTGGAGCAGATCCAGAACTTCACTGGTTCATCAGCTGCTGCAGCTTAAAGCATCTAAGATCAGGTTCTGGTTCTGGTTGAGTCCAGAATATCTGTCTCCAGCAGTCAGCGGGTCAGAACCAGAACCAGAACATCACTTTGCTGCTGGTTCATGAACAGAAGAAAGAAAATCAGATAAAACCTGAAAAACTGATCTTAACAATAAATTATAATCTTAGATTAAATTATCTTTAAGGCTCATTTATGTTGAGTTTTAGATTTAAAATCTTTCAGCTGCTGAAAATAATCAACCAAATAAATAAATTTGTTGTTTGATGCTGAAAATTTATATTCCTCTAAATCTGATCAAATTGTTTCTAATGATAAAGTGACTGAACTATCTCTTCTCTCTTTATAATTATTAAAATTAACATCTACTGGTTTACAACATTTCACTAAAAATAATAAAGAAAAAAAATCAGAGCTGCTGCTGTCAGTCCCACAGTGATGATGATGCTGATGATGACGATGATGATGATGAAGATGATGTTCATCCATTCTTGTTCTTCTGGTTCTGGAGTCAAAGTTGGTCTCTGAGTTTGGATCTGATCAGCAGCTGCTGGGAGAGAAATCAGAAATATTTATTAATATTTGATGGAAACTGAGATCCAGGAGGATTCATGGAGAAGATGAAGATGTTGGTTCATCAATACAGGAATCAGAATTTATTAAAGTTTCTAAAAATGTTTGTTTACATATTAATGATTTCTTCTCATCAGTAACGCTGAGTCGACATCTTCCAGAGTTGAATCCATCTTCAGTTTCCACGTCACACAGATACAGACCAGAGTCTTCAGTCCTCAGTCTGGACACATGGAGTCTGATTCGTCCTTCTCTGAGGACGTCTTTGTTGCTCTGGACTCGTCCTGAAAACTGTTTATCCTGAGACTCTGGAATCTCAACTCCTTCATGAACCTGATAGAGAACTAGTTCTTTATCACGAGTCTCCAAGATGCAGACGATGAACAGATTCTTCCAGGTTCCCTGAGTCTTGGTGGTGAAGGTCCACTCCAGAGTGATGCTCTGCTTCTCCTCTGCCTGATAGCTGCTCTGTGTCACATTCACTACAAATGTTGCTGCTGAGGAGACAGAGAGGGAAAGAGAGGAGCAGACACACTGAGAACTGGAACATGGGAGTCTTTCAGCTCCATCTAGAGAGCTTTCTGTCACAAAGACAAGATGGAGACTGACCACAGAGACATGAGCTGAGGATGAGGAGCAGCAGGATGCTGGACATCATCTTCATCCTGAAGAGGAAGAGGAGGAGTGTTAATCACAATACAAAGAAACTGGATTCCTGCTACAGAATTAACTTTATATAGAAACAGATCATTACTGCTACCTTGTGGTAATAAAACTATACAGCAGTAAGACAACAGGACATGTTTTCATTCTCTGCAGCTTCTGAATCTTTCATTATTAAATATTCTTATTTAGATCCATTAGATTCAAATAAAAATATTTAGATTATATTCTCTGAGCCTTCTTGTAATTTTGATGATTATTATTTACAGACAAACTTTATAAAACCAATAAAACATAAATATCCTAAACAGAGATATCAGGTTCCTGAAAAGACTTTTCATTTCACTTTGGACTTTAATCAACTTGGTTTCTGGTTCTCTTCATTCTTCCTCTAAACTCCAGAACCTTCATGTCTGAATGAAATACAAACTTTACTTTCCTCTGGAAACAGGACTTTACGGTCCAGTTCTTCTCTTCAGGTAAGATGTTTGTATCTGGGATTGTCTCTGTGAATCCTGTGTGAAGGAGTGAACTGAGTCTGCTCTGAATCCAGCATCAGTTCACTCCTTCATCCTTGTGAAACGCATCAAAATGAGAGAGTGATTTTCTGACAATCCTCTCCAGGCTGCAGTTTAATCCCTGCTGAACATTTTCCACATGTGGTGGTGAGGAGAACAGGATGGAGACCAATCCTGTCTGAGTTTGAAACCTGAGACATGCTGGACAAAAGTGTCAAACCAGAGACACAAAACTTTCAGCCGCAAGAAATAAAAACAAGTTACAGAAGATTAAAAGTTATTATTACAGATATATAAACTGCAAAACCTGGTTTCAGGATTTAACTGTTGTGTTTTACATTTATTCACAGGAAACGTGTATTTCAGTAAAATGTTTTTCAACTAACTCTAAATTATAGACAAACATGTAATAAACTTACTGTTAGTTTTCTTCTTTATCAGCCTCAACATTTTGCTGCTTTGTCAGCCTTTGTGTCCAGGTCTCTGCATGACGTTGATACTGTTAGACTAGACATGGACACACCAGATCTAGACTAACAGACTGAAAAACTGTTTCAGTTATGCTGTTTCTTTTATTCTCTTCTAGTTTGAGGCGGTCGAGGGAACAAATTTCTATTGAAGTTAAGAGTTTCTCCTCCTCTTCGTCCTACTGTCAGACATTCCTCACATTCTCCCTCCTCGTATTGCAGAGCATAAAGCTGGACTCGCCCTGTGACAGGAAATTTCCCTTCCTGCTTCGTTAGACTCATCGGAATCAGTTCCAGTGGGAGGAACAAAGCAAAGCATTCAGAGCTGAATGCTCCTGTTTGCTGTTGGTCATGAAAGTTGCCAACAAACTTCATTTGATTCCTCGACTCTCTGCAACTGGAAGCACATAGAAATAATTAGTCTGTTATTTCAGATCTGAGCTGCAGAGATCAGCAGCAAAGCTTTGCATTTCTCTGAAATGATAAGATTTCAACGCTGGAGAATCATGAAGGTTCAGAGGCAGAAAAGTTTCTAGGCTTTTCTCCGAGCAGACCTTCACTCCGGCGGCGTGGGAGGAGTTAAACACGTGACTCCGCCCACAGTTCAAATACTACCAGCAGTTTTACTAAATATAAACCGGAAAGTCAAGTTCCTGAATTATTTCATTTGACACATTCAACAGTGATGATTCACTGAATGGTGATGAATGTATGTTGAGACATTAAATGTTTTCTCATCAGAAACTTTGTTTATATATTATTTTTATTCCACTGTAGAAATAAACAAGAGCAAAAAATAATTATAATTTAGTTAAAAAGTTCAACACTTAATTCAGAAAGTGAAACTATCATATATTATATCGACTCACATATTCAGATAATAAACTCTAGTGTCTCTGAAAAATTTTTAATGTTCTAGAATATACAGTAAAATATTGATTCCAAAGTTTTCTGGACTCATTGATCAGTTCTGATGTTTGGTCTTAAAGCTGTTTAATTGATGCTCTTTGTTGCTGAGCATAAAGTTTATTATCTGCTCCAGTTGGTATTTTCATATTGTTCTCATGTTATTAATAAATCCATATTCATGCAGACTTGCTGTCAGGAAGGTGATTCACTGTTGAGATGTTTGTTTCCAGAACTGAGATCAGCTCTATCTGAGCTTTTCACTAAACGTTGCTTCTCCCTCTAGTGCTGAAAAGTCGCCAAGACAAACAATATAATAAATTGTCTCCAAATAATCAAGAAAAATAGAAAAATAAATCTTGGAACGATTGAAAACGTGAAATCTGAATTCACGTTTCTTTATGTGGCTTCAAAGAACAAAACAATCAATCAATGAATCAATCAATCAATCATCTCCGCCCACTCAGAGGATGAATCAGACTCCAGGTGTTCAGACTGAAGACGGTTTCGTCTCTGAAGATGCCGACTCAGCGTCTGGTGATCTCAGCTGAAGGTAAAATGTTTTCCAGGATTTTCTGTGAAATGATTCCTGCTAGAGTTTGAACCATAAGAACTGATATTGTTGTTTCACTGCAACTTGAACAGCAGCTGGACTGAGAAAATGATTCAGGTGGGATTTGAACCCTCATATTTTTGCCAATAAGAACCAAAACATGAAGAGGAGAAATTAAAAGTCCAGATCAGGATCAGCAAAAACAGCCTGGAAAACATTTTAGTTTCTGAAAGTAGAGTTTGAATTATAATAATAAGTAAATATGTAATGAGACATTTACTGATATTTTTGTTATTCTGGACATTTTAAAGAAGATAAAATGACTGTGAGCTGCAGCTGGACGGGTCAGCAGCCAGACACAACAGAACAAGGATTTATGGAAATAATCAATATTTCCCTTGTTGGAGCCGTCAGTAATCCTTTATTGATCCTCATCATTTTCTTTATGATTTTACATCAGAAAAAAGCAAAAAACATCTGGAAAACTTCCTGACTCACCTCATTTAGTTTATAAAAGTTACCAAGAAAATGTCACATAAAGTCGCATAAATTTACAGTAAATTCATAAATATTCATGAATAAATAGTCAAAGTGAACTACAAATCTACAGCAACAGGAAAAGTAAAACCAAAGCAGGAAAGTTTTAGCTTTAAACAACAACAACTTATTTACAGACTCATAATACATGAGCAGAAACTTCAACAGCAGCTGTGAAGCACAGTGGTGGAGGAATCATGATGTGGGATTGTTTTGCTGTCACACTGGAGATCATGATCTCTTCTGTTACCAAAGTAGAATCTAAAGTGAGTTCAGGATCCATCAGCTGCTTCCTGAAGCTTCAGGGTTCAATTAAACAACTGATATAAAATTCATCATCAGCTGATTCTCTAGAAAAGTTCTGGATTCATGTTTGATCAGTAAAACTATGATTGTTGCTGCTGCTGCTGCTGCTGCTGCTGCTGCTGCTGCTGCTGCTGCTGCTGCTGCTGCTGCTGCTGCTGTCAGTCCCAGTGAAACATAAAGACCGTCCCGTCCTCGACTTTCTGACGCTGAATCTTCTTTCTGATGATGGAAAATTCCAGAAGAAGCTGCAAAAAACCAAAAGATAAAAACTGATCAGAGAAACTGATGTTTGCTTTACTGTCTGTGGCTTTTCTGGAGTTTGAAATCATTCAGTAACATTTTAAAGATGAGTTGCAACGTTTTGCACAGCTCATGTTGATCCTTGTTGTTCTTTCAGTCTGCCAGGTGGAGGTGGTAGAGGGGGCGGAGTCTGTCCTGCTGCCATTCAGGACGACACGCCAGCTGCCGGGAGATTCCCATGTGGAATGGAGTTTTTTGGACAAGATGGTCCATATAAACATAAACGGTTCTGACAAGCCTGAAGAACAGGCCCAGTTCTTCAGAAGCAGAACCATGATGAATGAAGACCTGCTGGATTCTGGAGACCTCAGCCTGACTCTGAAGCAACCCACAGAGGCAGACAGTGGAGACTATAAATGCATATTCGACAGCAGGACTATCTGGAGAGTGAAAACAGTCCGTCTCAAAGTGAAAGGTTGCTTTACTTTCTGGCTCTCTTGTTCGTCTGACTGTTTGTCTGACTGACTGTTCTGTGTCCTCAACAGGAAGATCTCAAGTTCAGGATCACAGAGAAGACATGAGAAGAAGAGGAAGCTCCTCTGATCCAACTCCTCTGATGGTTGATCCGTCACTCTAATCATTGCATTGTTGCTAAATTACTGATCCAGTTCTATGTTGGATCACAGACAAAATCCCCTAAAATTGACAAAGAGTAATCTTTACCTCCTGATTCTTGTGCCAATATGCAGAATGGATATTTATTTGCACTTTTGCCAGGCAGTAAGAAGGTCCTGGGTTCAATTCCAGATCTTCTGCATGGAGTTTGCATGTTCTCCCTGTGACTGTGTGGGTTCTGCATCATGGTTGTTTGTCCTGTTTGTCTCTGAGTTGCCCTGCGACGGATGGGCAATCTGTCTGGGGTGACACCACCTGACCCCTAGTGGAGAGGCACCAGAACTCCACTAGGGACAAGCATGTCAGAAAATAGATGGATGTCATTCATTGTACTTTTCAAGATCTTAGATAATCATTGATCTGTTCTGTTATTAAAATGCTGAATCAGCTCATGGAGATTGTTACCAAGATAAAAGATCTTCATCTGATGTATTTATTCTGATGAGGATTTTCAGATGTTGAAAATCACTAATAGCATCATATAAATATTAATTATTCATACAGCCATAATATCTGCCATCTGATCAGCCTGATCACCATAAACATTCACTCATTAATGCACTTTTGATACAAGATTTCCACAGATGAACCAGACAATGTGTTTCTTTACTTCAAGCTGCTTCAGTCAGTTGATTAAACCAACATCTGGTTCAACAAGTTGGTTCAAATGATTCTTTTCCTGCTGCTTTTTTCATCTTATTGTAAGTAAATTTGTTTACCAGAAATAAATCAATAAAGTTGAGAAGACAAGGCTGCAGAATAATAATGTTCACCAGAATCAGACAAATCCATGAAGATCCAAGCAGGAAGTAAAATGATGTTACCTCAGCAGAGATCAGCTGCAATGTGTGTTTTGTCCACATGGTGGCGCTCTAAGCTCTGACTACAAGCTGCTCAGCAGTGAAATTTAATATTTCTCCTCCTTTCTGTCTTTATTCAATTCTGATGTAAAAACACAGATGTAGAAATGTTTCCTTTAATGAAATGTGTTTTAAGCTTTAAGACGTGATTATTGAATATTGATCTGATCAGCTGATCAGCAGCTTCATCCTGATGCTTCACTCACTGATCTTCACTTCAGTTTACAGGAAACAGAATCAGGAAACAACATAAAATAGTTTAGTAACATTTGTCGATTTAATTTATTTTTATGCATTTTATCAGATTCTATGTTTCTACTTCCTGTTTATTTATTTAACTTTAAAGATAAAGATCCAAATGAGGGAAAAGTTTGAAAAACTGAAAACAAAGAAACAAGAAAAGTTTAATATTTTATTAGCTCAGTAACAAAATATCAAAATACAGAAATTATTGTTGAAAACAGTTTAAATGTTGATGTGATCAGAAATTCAACAGTCCAAACTAGAACTGAAATTTAACAGAAATAAATTCTCACTAAACCTGAATAATAAAGTTTATAATGTTTGGAAGGAATAATGTACAATTAATGTGGAATCAATTAAAAATAAAGAAAGAGAGAATTAAATAAAATCTGTTGGAAACCTAATATAACCTGTCAGATGAAATGAGAGCTGCTGAACCAGAACAGAACTGAGCTGTTATTATTATTAAATTCTTTACAGTTTGACTTCCTGCAAAGTGAGGAAGATGTGAATATCTGAAGGTAACAATCAGAGGAGGCAGCAAACTGTGCAGAATCTGCAGTACGATCCTGCAGGATTGTTGTTGTTTCAGTGTAAAAATATCTGCTGTACCTGAAAGCTGTTTCCGGTTTAAGACCCGTTTGAGCGAAAAGAGCCAAAATGTTTCTGACAGCAGGAAACAGACCAGGAAGTCCAGAGAGCGGGAGAAATGAATCATGCGTTCAGGTAACCTCGGACGTTGAATTTATTAGAGACAAATTAAACTGATTATAACAACAACAAAAATATGCAAGCGAAAATAAAAAGTTTCATTGTGAATATCAGATGCATCTCATCAAGCATATTCTTAAAAACCGCAGTAAGAAGTTCAGTCTGTGTGTTTCTCATTAAATCAGTCTGTCCGAGGCGTCCTTAAATGCATCATCGTTCTTATTCCAGTTTATCCTGTTACTTGCAGTCAGATCTCTGGACTGCAGCAGATGGGTGGAGTTCATGTCTCGGAGATTCTGGTATGTCTGATTTATTTCATTTGTTGTCTCAGTTTTTCAGTGTGACGTGTTTCATTGAGGAGCATCAATAACTCAGCAGGAAAACAGAAAAGTTTCTACAACAGACAATCATCCTGGCTCTGATCAAACCTGCAGCCTGTTTCTAAATGCAGCATAGAGCTTAAATACTAGAACATGATCATAGATCTACTTCTTGTTTTCTTCCTCAAACTGATCAGCGGACTCGGATGATGAAGACTTCTGATGAAGATGATCAAACTTCTTAAGGTTTTTGTTCAGAGAGACTGAAAAATAACATTTTTATCATTCACTGGTAGAGCTTTGCTGCAGGTGGAACTGAGTTTAATTTAAATGTTCTGCAGATAAATGAAGCCAATAATCAATAAGGATTAAACGTTGATCTGCGGATGGGAAAAGCTACAAAGTGATTGATTGGTTTTGTTTAGAAGGTGGGAAATGTTGCCTTTTGTTCAGAAGGTTTCAGATTAACTAGTGAATTCAATAAAGACTGGAGACAAACTGAACGTTCTCATGTTTTTATTGAGAACAAATAAGAGCCAAAAACTAACACAAAGTTTCTCCTTCAGCAAAACTCACAAACATGTCGACACGTGTCTCCGTCATGTGGTGAACATGAACATGACACCAAACAACACAGGAAATGTATTGGTCACGTGGTTTTCCTAACACACCGACTCGGGGTTTCATCTTGTTCGCTCTGCGCATGTGCCGAGGTTTCTGTTATCTGGTCCATCACTACTGTCTTCTAGAGAACTACGGACACCGTGAAGGCTCAAACAAAGTGTTTCAGCAAAGTTATCCCACTTTTTTCACAACTGCGGCTAATCAGACGCACATAGTGCGGGTTTTCCATCAATATCTGGGGAAACGCTGCTGTGTTTATTTATGGCCACCAGGTGGCAGTATCACTGTCTATTTATAATACTGACTTTACCATAACGTATTCAAAACAGATTAGAACCAGAAATTTCAAGAGTTTCAATGTGAAGAAGTTGAGGTCAAAGGTCAGACTGAGTTACTATGAGTCCAATTGTTCCTTGTATTGTTCCAGATGTTCCTGATGTTCTGCTGTCTCTCCTCCTCTTCCTCTCAGGATGAAGATGATGTCCAGCATCCTGCTGCTCCTCATCCTCAGCTCATGTCTCTGTGGTCAGTCTCCATCTTGTCTTTGTGACAGAAAGCTCTCTAGATGGAGCTGAAAGACTCCCATGTTCCAGTTCTCAGTGTGTCCCTCTCTGTCTCCTCAGCAGCAACATTTGTAGTGAATGTGACACAGAGCAGCTATCAGGCAGAGGAGAAGCAGAACATCACTCTGGAGTGGACCTTCACCACCAAGACTCAGGGAACCTGGAAGAATCTGTTCATCTCCTGTGAAGTGAACACGGATCATGGAGTCTTAGTTCTCTATCAGGTTCATGAAGGAGTTGAGATTCCAGAGTCTCAGGATGATCAGTTTTCAGGACGAGTCCAGAGCGACAAAGACGTCCTCAGAGAAGGACGAATCAGACTCCATGTGTCCAGACTGAGGACTGAAGACTCTGGTCTGTATCTGTGTGACGTGAAAACTGAAGATGGATCCAACAAGGCAGGATGTCGACTCAGCGTTTCTGGTGAGTTATTTGGGGTTTATTTTACTTTCTTTTAACTTTTTATGTCTTTATTGAGCATAAATTAAACTATTTATTAGTGAAATGTTTTAGCTTCTCTTTATTAAAGCTCATGTTTGATCACGGCTCTAAGCTCTAGAGGTCAGAAGGTCGACCTCAGCATAGTGTGATGATTCTAGACCAAATCCACCTGTGAATTCAACTGATCTAATAGATGAAAACTGATTCTATCATAATTCTTCTGAAGCCAAAAGTGCAACATCTTAATTTTATTTTATTATTAAAGTGAAACTGTGAAGGTAAAAGTTAAATTGGTACAAGGGATAAATTATCTACAGTTTCTGTGCCAGCTTATATCATCAGTAGAAACATATTTAGTATCTTCAATACTTGGGCCAGTTCCAGTCTATGGGGCCACTGGCCCCTTTAGATTCATCCTGAGTACGGCCATGTAAAGGACTGGACTGATGTAACAACACATTTCCACAGGATGATGAAAGTAAAGGGTTCAGTGGATTTTCTGCTGAGAGCAAAACATGCAGCACTTCTATGTTCATCTGTAAGCAAATAAAACTCAACCAACCAGAGTCAGGAGAAGGCTCTTAGTGCTGACAATCACCATCTTGTACGTGCTGCTCATACCTTTTCCTTGCTCTTGGCTTCAGCTCCTCCTCCACAGTAAAACTGCTGTGATTGAGCTTTGAGTGCATAAATATTAGAAATGTAAATAAAGGACGACGACCAGAGCTTCTCAGGGCCATGATCACCACGGTCCGAGTCTCTCTCAGGGAGGGGAACTCGCAGCAATGGCCCACTTTACTTTATGTGGCTGTTTTTTCCACACTATCTGGGAGAGGAGGAAGAGGTTAATTGGCCAGGCTTAAAATGAATCAGTGATAATTGGTGACTATTTTGTGAGACACACAAATTGTAGCATAAAACTCATAGAATCAGATTTAGCCGCAATAAAATAAAGATATTTGCTTTGTTCCCAACCTTTTACAAAGTAAATTGAAGTAAATTGAAGTAAATTGAAATGTTAAACAATGTAAAATCTTTTTTTTTCCATTGTAAAATATTTCAATCACATTTAATAGTGTTGCTATTCAAACTCCCAAAACAATCAAATTTTAATATTCCTAAACAGATGCTAACATCTAAATCTATGGTTTGTGCTAAAACTGAAGCATTATGGGGTTTGGACCCGTTACTATTGGACCAGGTCTGGTTAGAGTAACCAAAAATTGAAGTCCAGTCCAGAACTACTTTGTTGTGTGGAGAACCTCAAGGGTCAGTACTGAGACCAGTTTTATTTAATTCGTATATAAACAACAGAAGCAAAGTGTCTAATGTGTTAAATTTGTGTTATTTGCTGACGACACAAATATTCTAGTCTGGTGAAAACTTACAACTTCTTTCCATAGAAATCAGTAAATGAAAGAAAAGGTTTGACAATAACAAATTATCACTTAATTGGGACAAAACTAAAATTATGTTTTTGGAAACTGCTACCAAAACAATTCAAGTTCAGATAGAGTTCACATGTACAGTAAATTAGTTTTCCCCATGAGTCATCATCTGACCAGCTGAAAGACAAACTGCTGTGATATTTTCCTGTACCTGAATAGTTCATCTGTAATCAGTGCTGGTTGCCTCCATGATTATCAGGCTCTCCAGAAAACCAGTCTGAGGAGAAGAAACGGTTCCCATCGCTCCACAACCAAATGCTCAGCTGGAAGACAATAAACAGCAGATGATACATTTCATTCAATGTTTCCCAACAAATAAAATGTAGTGGCATCAAAACCTGCTGTGCATCAGAGCCTCCAGTCCAGGCTGGTTTGGTTTAGTGACCTGCTGCAGTTATTATAATCTGAATCTGATGATATTCATTCATGTCCTGAACTGATGCAAAGTTTCCCCCCATGGACAGACAGTTTCTCTACAGACATAACAATTAGAAGTAGCTGGATTTCTTCAGTAAAGAATAAAATAAATTAAGATCACAATGTTACTGGAAATCACCTCGACTCTTGACCAAGTCATGGGTTTCTGAACATATTGAAAGCAGCAACATTAGGTGGCGCTCTTGCACCGTTTCTGTTGGGATTTTTGTGACAATCTTAAAATATGTAAATTTCCTGAAGGTTTGATGCGTCTGCCAAGTTTGGTGAGTTTTCAATATAGTAAAACCAAATCAACTAAAAGACTGTTAAAGGGAGTCCTGACTATTTTCTCCAGTAAAATATCTGGTTTGTTATTTTTCTTGAGTTAAACATCAGTAATTTTACAGATGTAAATAAAAAATTAATATATTTACATTTATAAACAAAATAAAAACAAAACCTTTATTTTGAAAAACCTCTATTAATGGGATAGATTCATTGTTTCACAATTGTAAAAATCCTACAGGAGAATATATTTGAATGTTATCTGAACAACAAACAGGAATATTAATGTTGATTTATTAAAATCTTTGTTTATTCTTCCAGATGAAGTGAAGGTTGTTGGTCATTATTTGATTCATGCAAAGGTTGGAGACGACGTCATTCTGCCATGTTATCTGGAGCCTCCATTTGATTTGACCACATTTACAATCGTATGGAGATTCAAGGATGAAATAATCCATGTTCAACACAACCAAACTAAAGATGATGGAGCTTCAGATCCAAAGTACAATAACCGAGCCTTCATGTTCCCTGATGAGTTTAAAAAAGGCAACATTTCCCTCAAATTGACCAAAGTAACCAAGGAGGATGAAGGGAATTATATTTGCTTTGTTCCCAACCTGCAAAGTCAAGCCAGGAAGGGAAACGTTACTCTAATACTTGGTGAGTTTTATAAAGTTAAGATCATTAAGACAAACTAGATAAATATATTAATGTCTTTAACACTTAATGTAATTTTTCAACAGTTGAAAATGCAGCGCAACGCGACTCGACTGCTACTAGAGGTAAATATGTTTAACTAGGTAACCAGTGAGGTTAAGACAGAGGGAAGAAGGAGTAGTGATCCCTTGTATTTTTCTGTAAATGTCTACATACTTATTTGACCAAACCTTATAGTGCAATACCATATTACTGGTCGATTGTCAAATTTTTATATTTCCTTTTGTGCTGCATTTATTTATATTCTTATTCCTTGTTTAATTTAGGTTTTGGCGACGTACATTTAGTGTGTATCTGTATTTAATCTGTGTTTTTTAGTATTTTGCTTACTGTGTGTTACTATTTTCTGTGAGCTGCTGGTAACTTCAATTTCCTGAGGGAGTCTTCCCAAGGGATCAATAAAGTACAAGCGTAAGTCAGTGGTTAGTGACCCTCTGACTCAGTTTCAGACTTTCTTTGTTACCTGCAGCCATTGAGGCTCATTGGGTTGAATATTCATCTTCAGGCTTTTCCTGTTATAACATGTTGATGTTCAGCTGGGCAGATAAAACCTGAAGACCTGTGTGTGTGTGTGTGTGTGTGGTGTGTGTGTGTGTGTGTGTGTGTGTGTGTGTGTGTGTGTGTGGTGTGTGTGTGTGTGTGTGTGTGTGTGTGTGTGTGTGTGATTCACAACTTTGATCTCATTAGTAAAACAAAATGCGAAATCTAATTCAAAATATTCAAAAGCGGATTGTTAAAAACACGTTTTTCTTTTTGTCACAGTACCTGATGCTGGAGTTATTGTTGGTACTTTTGTTGGTGGGGCTGTTCTAGCAGCACTCATCATCATCATGATATTCTGTGTTGTACGTTGCTGCAGAAGTGAACCAAGTAAGTCAGTCATTGTCTTTCTAAGTCATGCAGGATTTTGGTGAATTAATGATTATCTCCATACATGTGGAAATGGATCAATTCCAGATTAATAACTTATGTTAATTATTTCCTGTTTTATTTTCCTGCTCAGTGATAAACTAAGCAGTTACTTCATATAGATGTATGAATGTGTTTGTGTTGCTGCAGTCACTGAACATCACAGCTGAGCATCAAACCAGGAAGCTGAACTTCCTTGTTAGTGACTGAATGTGACTGACTAGATATTAGATCATTGATGTAGCAGCAATGAACTGGTGACCTGACTGGGTTCATCATGGCTCACCAGTATTCCCACTGACCTGAACAGGATATGAAGGTTTAGACCAGAGGGTCCAACCTGTGGATCCAGACGCACTAAAGAGAAACAGCCAGAAAACAACAACATTCATTCATAAAATGCTACAAATTAAACTATTATTTACTGCACATAACTCAGATTTTCTCTTCTTTGTTGTGTTTTCTTCAACAGAGAAGCTGATAGCTAATAAATCATGTTTAAGATTATAATTAGAGCTTAATGAGAGACATTTCTTCTGCCTTCATTAAAGTTATATTCTTTTAATCTGACATCTGAATATACATTAAATATTCAGTTTAATATGACCATGTTTACATTTTATTGTAATATGCTTTGGTTTCTGGATTGTTTTTTTTTGTCAACAAACATCTGGAAACAAATGAGACAAATAATTTCAGAAAAAGTCAAAACTTTAATGCTTTACTTTATTTATTTTTTGTTGATTGATGATAATTTTATTTATAAAAACTAAAATGAGAGTTTGAGAAAAACTGAATGCTGTTTTTATTCAAGCCATCATAATAATAATGTAACTTTGGGAAATCAAACAATCAGATGATGTTATTAATGAAATGTTTTGTGTTTCATAGATCATAGAGAAAATGTCAACCGAGGAAATGAAGAAGAAGAAGAAGGAATATATTTACGGGACCGAGAACAACCAAACTAAAAAGTTAGAATCTTCCAGCTGATCTAAAGTGTCTTAAACCATTGATGGTATGAAAACTGTTACATATTTATAACTGTGAATAATAATAATATAAAAAACTGTATGTCTTAAACCCAGAAGGAAGCCGTTCATATTAGGTCTAAAATTTAATCATCTTTTTTCAGATTAAAATAAACGATGCAAGAATCATGTAAGTTTAAGTCCAAAGATGTTTCTGTAGTTTAGAGTTTCTTACTCAGATTTTGATAAATTATTTGTCTTAAAAAGTTTTTTTAATATCTGCAAAAGCTGACAGACTTGATCCCCAGCTTGTGCCTTCAAAAGGTTTTTATTTAATTTCTGTCAGTGAATCTTATTTTTTGTGTAGTTTTTAAAAAAAAAAAAACTACACAAGTCTGAACAACTGGTAAGTTGTTCATTTGTCCAAGACTCTATTAAACTGCTGTTGTCACATTAAATATGTAGAAGTCAAACTTTATACAAGTTTATGACAACATTATTCAAAGTGCTAAACAATAAGGAGCTCAAAACAAATCAGATTAAACAGTTAAAAAAATATAGTTGATAGTTGATGATTTTCAACATTTACAGAGTAAATAGTGTTTACTCTGTTTACTGAGTAAATCAAACAATCACTGGTCAATCTATCTGCCAAATTCTTATATTTTCTTTTGTGTTGTACTTATATTCTTATTCCTTGTTTCTTGCATAATTTAAGGTTTTGGTTACTCACATTTAGTGTGTACCTTAGTATTTAACTTGTATTTTTGTATTCTTTTGCACTTTGCTCACTGTGCGCTATCTTTTTTTTCTTTTTTGCCTGTAAGCTGCTGGTAATTTCCTGAGGGAGTCTTCCCAAGGGATCAATAAAGTGCAAGTCTAAGTCAATCTTTCTGCTATACATAGGTAAGGAGACCAACTTTGACTCCAGAACCAAAGAGACAAGGAAGGAACATCGTCATCATCATCGTCATCATCATCATCATCATCATCATCATCATCATCATCATCATCATCATCATCATCATCACTGTGGGACTGATAGCAGCTCTAAAGTCTCTAATTCTAATATTGATTATTTGGTTTAGGAAGAAAAGGAGAAAAAGAAACCAAAATTTTTGACAAAAAACATTTTTGTTTGAACTTTTTCTCTTTCACATATTATATTTTAATAATGACTTTGAGTCGTTTATTGAATATCTTCAGATTCATGTTTTAAATCATTTCTGGTCTATAACCAGAACAAAGATCTGCTATTATGTTACTCAGATGAATTTATTCCGTTTCACTTCATGTGTTTGGAGAGACCAGTGGTGACAACAGTATTAAGAGTTTGTCCTGAAATTGGCATGTTGTTGGTTCAAATCTGCCTCTTTCTTATGTCCTTGAGCAAGGCACTTCACCTGCCTTACCTACCAGTGGCATCGACCCGCAGCAACCGCTGCTAAATTGCTCCAGGGCAGCTGAGGCTGTTATTGTCACCATCAGTGTGTGAATCGTTGTGAAGAATTTAAAAGTACAAGCCATAGTTAATGTTTTATGAAAATAGTAAATTAGAGCTGTAATTTATTATTTAAACATTATTGTTATTTTGTAGCTTAAAGCCTGTGTGGTTTTGCTTTTTCATCATTGATCTCATAATTAGTGTGTGTTGGGTCATTGATTGTAGAAAAGTTATAAATGTACATATTGAGGTTTTATTAGAAAACTGTTATTTATTCAAAGTATCCAAACTTGTTTTGCATAAGTTTATATTTTTGATTAAATGTGTTTTTCTTCATTTTTGTGTATTTAATGAGCCTCAGTGAAATTCTCACTATTTACTTGTTTCAACTTTAATGTCTAATTATGAGTCAATCTGCTCTTTATTTGGGCTGCAGGTCAAATTTATGAAACTGGGAAAATAGTTTTCTTTGTTGTTACTGTTGTATTTACATATTTTACATGTTGTGTTTACTACTGATTACAACAGGTAATCAGTAGTTATTATGATATTATGTTGGCTTTGTATCTAATAAAGTTCTGCATTTTATTTAAGATCAGCTTCATTCATATTTTTTTACCAGGTCAAACTAATCCTGCCCCCTAGTGGCAACAGATGGTTCTGTAGGTTAGAAACATTCTGTTGGTTTATTTGCTCTTTTTGTCTGAAAGTTTCTTTTAATCAACGTATAATAATTAGTTATGATTAAAAACAATCCAGCAAAACTACAGAAACTGATTCCGTGGAATAAACAGGCGGCTGAACGTGTGTCTGCCCCTTTAAGAGACACAAGGAAGGACGATGACGTCACAAGTGGGCTGAAGACAATACCTTAACCCAGAATCAGGAAGTTCAGGAAGATTTTCTCTGATCTTCAACTCGGTTCATCTGAAACGGTCAGTTTTAATTCATGTTTTCAGATTTAAAGAGTTTTTAAAATTCACGCATTAAATGAAGGTTTAGTTAAAGTTGGAACAAAGTTTCAGCAGCAATATTATCACGACTCTTCATGTTTCTGTTCCACTTTGTTTCGCTCTTTCTTGTTGCATAAAATATTTTTCTTTAATAACAAACGAAATAAACTCTGTAGAGGTTTTGACTAGACAGATTAAATAAAGCAGAATGCGTTGATTTTTCTAATACGGGCCTATTGTTCATAACTGCGCTGCTTTTTGCATGAAGGTTTTGGTTCAAAGGTCATTTCAGCTTTTAGTTATTAAATATTTGATATAAATTCATATTTTCTCTGCGTCATGTTTGCAGAAAAACGTCAGTTTCTGTAACAGCGATCATTAGAGAAACACTCAGTGAACTAAGATGTTTAGTTTCACTTTGATCAAACATGTTTTTAACAGTTTTATCATAATTAAAACTTCTCTCTGTTTTCTGCATGACTTTTAAACTAAAACTAAACTTTAAACTTATTAAGCGTCTGCAGATCTGATCAAAGTGAAACATTTTATTTTCCTCCATTTTGTGTTTCATCTGGACGCCATATTGAAATGATGATCCTCTGTAATCATCACGTGATCAGAGATCAATAGTAACTAGTTACATTTACTCAGTTACATTAACTTGAGTAACTTTTTAGAACAAATGTACCTTTAGTTGTTTTTATTACTTTTTACTTTTACTTGAGTTTTTTTATTATGATGTTTTTCTAACTTGAGTCAAATTTCTGGATTTTCGACCCACTGAATAAAAACCAAACATGTTTTAACCAATAATTAAACACAAACCTGCAGTTTTTGTTAAAGTTTTATAAGTTTTTTATGGAAAGAAACTGATTTGGAAAAAAATAATAAATTCTTAATTTTGTTATTTTGTTGTTGCTTAAAAATTATTGTCATTTTTCTCCTTAAAGTATAAAAAAATTCCTCAAATCTTTATGTTTTGGTTTGTCTGATTATGTAATTTTAAATATTAAATGATTGATAATTTGATCAGTAACTTTTTACCAAACATTATTTTATTCTGACTGGAGTATAAATATGTTGAAGTAGTGCTACTGCTATTGGAGTAAAATGTTTGGTCTCTGCATGTGATAACTTGTAGAAATAATGTCTATAATCAATGTGTTTTATTATTTCTAACAGAGCATCAATGCTGAACCGGACCTCCTCGTCTCTCCTGGTTCTGATTCTGAGTTCTGCTGCTCTGGGTGAGAAAATATGACTGAATGTTTTAAACTGAACTTTAACTCAGAGCATGAAGGACGTCTCAGGTTTCTAGGAATAATTAGCAGATCTGATATCACTGGATCTATTTCCTGTCAGTGTTTTGATCACAACTTTTCATCTGAGCCGTTAAATAAACTTTTACCTGAAGCTTCGTGAGAAAATGTTTTAAATCGTCCGTCAGCGTCTGAAACATCAAATCCTGGATATTTGGAGGTGTGATGATGCATCAGATTATCAGAACTACTTCATCAAAGTGTTTCTGAGGATTTGTGTTGTGATTTCTTGCTTCTGTCTCTTTCTGACTCCTGCAGGAAAATCTCTGCCCACCGTGAATGAAACTCTGGACGTCTACGAGGCCGAGGAGAACTCCAACGTCACGCTGAAATGGATCCGTCCGGATCCGAACGCCACGCCGCCTGACCGGCTCTACGTCCATCTGATGAGCATGGAGCCGCTGAGGAGGATTTATCGGTTCGACAGCAGAGATGAGACGTACACAGATGATGAGTTCAAAGGTCGACTGCACTGTGACCCCCAGCTGGTCAGGAATGGAGGGATCCGGTGTCTCCTGGCTGAAGTGAGGCTCAGCGATGCGGGTCGGTACCGGTGCTACGTCGTCATTGACGGAAGAAGAGACCATAGAGACTGGGAGCTTGTAGTCAGAGGTGAGTTTTTACTGATAAAAATGGTTTAATCTTTATTTTCTGGTCTTTTTATGTTTTCCACTTTATTTTTGGGTCTGAAAAGCTGCATTTTCATTACAAATGTTTATTAGAAACTGTCTGATATTTCACAAATGTAAAAAATGAAGAAAAAAAAAACATTTACAGATACAGTGTTTCCATTAAATAAGAAATACATTTAAAATCACATGTGAATAATTTTATTCATGCAATAAGTCATTAAAAACATGAATGAGTCAAATGTTAAGACCCAGAAAATTCTTCTTCTTCTTCTTAAAACATGCGTTGTTCCAAAATCGGGGTTGTTTCCATGAAGCAAATTTTCTTTCATAATTTCATTTTACAGAGTTAACATCAATGGAGACGCAGCTACTGATTTATTCTTGATTCTTTCTTTGCAGCTTCCATTCCTCAGACTCAGGAGGAAACCCAAGAGCTGGTGGATCGCGGGAGGTTTGGACTTTATGTTGGTTTGGGTTTGTTCCTGCTGGCAGCAGGACGACTCGCCCTCCACTCTGCTGCTGGTTCAGGTTTCAGGTTCAGCTCAGCAAACTCCAGGACATAGATTCACCAAAAATCCACAATCAGAATCACTCCCAATATTTTTTATTTTTTTATCATGACCGATTTTGTGTTAGAGGAGGCCTTATGACCTTATGACCTTATGACCTCCCCAAAGATTGCCCCGTCTTCAGTCCCTATTGGACTTGGAGCTCCAGCTGCTGTGTGTTTTATGGTTTCCAGAAACTGAGTTCTGCAGAATGAGCAGAACTTGTTCTGGAAATATTTTGGTTCGTTACAAATGCACTTTGCACTTTGCACTTTGCCGACAGCGCTACAGAAACGGTGCTGCTATCAGTGGAATCACGGGAGGGAAATATTACACTGAGAAAACAGTTTCTACCTCATAGAAGTAGCGCATAAACATGGCCGACCGTCGTTCTTCCTTTGGCCAAAAGGTTGGTGGGACGATTTACGGCCATGTCACAGGTTGTGGTGTCGTTGAGCCAGACACCAAATCCCTGAACTAGCTACCTCGACGGCTCGGATGTAGGAATGTAGACTGAGGTCTTATTTTAAATAAGTTTACAAAAATGCTATGCATGGAACAAGGTCAGATGTTACTGATGTTTAACTGTGATGTGATTCGTCTAATTTTGAGACGACAATCAACAAAGTGTCAATAAGCAACAAACTGAATCCTTGAAATAAGCTACCTCCATGGAGGAAAAGGTATTAACCGGTTTCCATGGCTGTAAAGCAGGAAACATGGCGGACCATGTATGGCTCATCCTTCAGTTCAGAGGTTTGAGGCCAAAGAAACTCTGAGTCTCTTTGGCCTCAAACAGAAAACTAGATCACGTCTGAATGGCTTTAAGCTTAAAGTGGTCATAGAGGAGAAGTGCATTGTGGGAAATGGTGTTTTGTAGAGGAAAACTCTAAATACCAGGAATGCAAAGATGCATGATGATCATTTTGGTAAAGAATACTGCTGCCCCCTTGTGGTCAGAAACTGGAAAATGACCCAAACTGGAAACACAGCCGTAAATAAGATTTTTAGTTCAGCCTCAGTTTGAAGAACTGAACTGCAGATGTTACAGTTCTTTTCTTTATCTGTAATATTGAGACAATAATTATTGATGATGTTGTTTCAAGTCACTGAAATGACGACTCAGCTGCCTTGATGTTCAGTTTCAGTTCAAAGCAGCAGAACAGATAAAAATGCTGAATGAATTTGAGACGATGAAAGTTTCTAAATCAAAGAATCTCATCTTTAAATCTTTAAACTGAGTTTTCAACATGATGACGATCTGCTGGCCTGATGCACAACTGGCTTCATAAAAATGAACAAAAACAAACAAATTGTCATTTCTGGCTGTTAAAACATATAAAAAATATTCATTAGGATCAAATCTTGACCTGAATGGTTTAATTATTCTATATAATCTGTGGTGGTTCAATCCAACAACTTTAAATCTCCAGATTCTCTCATTAAACTTTATTGATCACTGATGTGAAAAACAGCATCAAACCAGCAGCTTTGCTCTCATATTGAATGAAACATTTTCTCTTTCTGTCATTTATTCTCATGTTCCAGTTCATTTGCTAGAAGAAAACGTTCAGGGTTAAAAAATAGGACAAGTCATCATTATCTATATAATCACATCTGATCTATATGAGAAATTAAAGAAATATTCACAAATTGAAAATATTTCCTTCATGTTTTTTCTGTAACTTTAATGTCAGTAAATCAATAAACTGATTGCAAACGTTGTCTGTGTGAACTTGTGTTGTTTTAACTATAAAGTTAATTTCTGCAGAAATATCAAAGCAAATACTTTAGTTTCTGATATCAGTTTTGAAAAAAGGTTAGAAGATTAAGAAGTAAATATTTACTTAGATATTTGTTCAGATTTTATTTTGTTTTTTTAATTATAGAAATATAAATAAATAAATTTCAAGAGGTGGTGATGTCATGATGTGGGCTGATAATAATCAAGGCTGACTAGTAAAGATTCACAAGTCAATATAATATTTACATTGAAAAGAAACAAAAAGCAGAATTAATCATTTGAAAATGTTAATTAACAGAAATGTTACAAAGCAGCAACATTTCCCAGTAAAGATGTTGATCAGCTGATCTCCAGATATTAAAATGATCCATTTCTGCTGGTTTTGGAGCTGCAGCTCCTCTTCATCATTCTCCATAAATAAGTTGATTTAAAGGCTATTTGATGTAAACTAAAGTAATGTGGGGTTTACTTTTCATTTCTGTCTAAAATGTAACATGATCTAGAAGTTTATGTATATAGAAACTGGTTCTGTTCATCATGAACAGACATGTTGACTCTTAGATCTGGCCAAGTGTCAACATGACAGCAGGTCTGGGTTTTAGTTCTGTTTAGACTTTGAACTGAGTCTCATTTTCAGAGTGAAAGAAAGAACATTTCTCTCTTTTTTAAAAGTACAGAAACAGATGAATGTGTTGTTACTGATGCAGCAGCACGAAGGCTGGACTTTTACCTGAACTTCAGTAATTATCTTTAATTTGTGTTCATTTTATTCCTTATTCAGTTTCATTTTCTCTTTAAATATTCTCACCGTTTGCATTCAGTGTTTCTTATTAAAGTTCAGAGATAAATCAAAGTGAAAACCTGCTTTATTGGATGAGAATGTATTTTATAATGTTGTAAAAATGATTAATTCTTAAATGCATAAAGTTTGATGAAAATAGTCTGAGGATTGAAAAAAGTGTCAGTAAACATTGCAGGTCTGGGCAGCACCAAGTAACCTGAGAGGATCCCTGTGAAATATCCTGATATTATTTGCCTTTTGGTGACTCCACCTATTAGCACAAATATATCTAAACTCTAGTGAACAGGGAATAGAGCTGGAAAGACCTCAGAACTCCACAGGTTTTATCCAGGCAGGTTACAGGTGAGTCAGTCTGTTCTAGTTTATTATTGGTCAGTTTTATGTTAAAATGAAGAGGAACTCTGATAAAACATTTAGCAGCTTGATAATGATTGGTGTTGTTAATGCACTAGAACCTGTTTATATTATAAAGATCTGGTTTCTGTTGTTTTACCGAAGATGTATTTAAAATAATAAATTGACTTTCTGCATTTTAACTTCTAGAGAATCTGTTTCAGAACCACAGACAATATTTTATTGACTTTTTGTCCAAAAACTAAAATTCCAAAATTGAAAAAACTCAAATCTCAAAAGTGATCAAACCAAAGTGAAATAAACTCAAATAGTTAAAACAATGCATCGTGGGTTCTGGTTTACGCAGTCCAAAGCAAAAAGGTCAAAACAGTCAAAGTGCAGCTCTTTGTTTACTTTATTCAGTTTTTAGCTAAAAACAAGTTACAGGTTTTGAATAAACCTGCCTGAACTCCTGCACCTTTTCTCACTGATAAAACTGACCTGACAGGTAAAAAACCATAAAACCACGTGACGAAAGACTTGTGTATAACTTTCATGAAGATGAAATTTAATCTTTTGACAACCAGAAAATACTTGAAATATTTATTTCTTAATTAACTCTAAACTTAACATGAACCAGTTCCTGTAATCAGAATCTTGTTGTTGGCTGTGTTCTATGATTTTGTATTTTTGTGTTTTTATGATGTAAAGTTCTTTGAAATGCCTTGTTGCTGAAAGGTGCTATAAAAATAAAATGTAATTGATACAATGTAGAAATAAAGTCATGTTTATTTTTTAATCTAACTGACATGTGATAATAAAACAGTAGAAAATAAAAACTAAAATATTTCTAGATTTTATAGCAGACTGATTTTACTAAAACTAATGTAAAACATGTCCTAATATTTTACTGCTGTGTCTATTGATCACCACAAGGTGGCAGTACTGATCTGTTTTCAAACATGAATCACATCGATGCTCTCTCTCTGTTTTGTCTTCCAGTATTAAACTCAACTTTTCCACCATGTTGATGAAATACGTCAGAATATTAAAGAAATAATTTAACAAAATCTGTCCTGATGATCTTCATCACTTCACTGATGTTGATCCATCCTGATTAGTTAAAGTCTGATGATTCTGAGCTAAAAGAGTAAAAGTGACATAAAGTTCAGAAAAATCCACCAGAAAACTATTCTTCACTTCGTCATTTGTAAATATTGGTGAATCATTCAATCATTATATGAAAGTTACAGCAATTCAGTTGTTCCTTGTACTGATGTTCTGCTGCCTCTCCTCCTCTTCCTCTCAGGATGAAGATGATGTCCAGCATCCTGCTGCTCCTCATCCTCAGCTCATGTCTCTGTGGTCAGTCTCCATCTTGTCTTTGTGACAGAAAGCTCTCTAGATGGAGCTGAAAGACTCCCATGTTCCAGTTCTCAGTGTGTCTGCTCCTCTCTTTCCCTCTCTGTCTCCTCAGCAGCAACATTTGTAGTGAATGTGACACAGAGCAGCTATCAGGCAGAGGAGAAGCAGAACATCACTCTGGAGTGGACCTTCACCACCAAGACTCAGGGAACCTGGAGGAATCTGTTCATCTACTGTGAAGTGATCACAGATCATGGAGTCTTAGTTCTCTATCAGGTTCATGAAGGAGTTGAGATTCCAGAGTCTCAGGATGATCAGTTTTCAGGACGAGTCCAGAGCGACAAAGACGTCCTCAGAGAAGGACGAATCAGACTCCATGTGTCCAGACTGAGGACTGAAGACTCTGGTCTGTATCTGTGTAACATGAAAACTGGAGATGGAATCAACTCTGGAAGATGTCGACTCAGCGTTTCTGGTGAGAAGAAATATTTTACTCTGATAAAATCCTGAGTTGTTGAATTTCTTCATCTTCTCCATGAATCCTCCTGGATCTCAGTTTCCATCAAATATTAATAAATATTTCTGATTTCTCTCCCAGCAGCTGCTGATCAGATCCAAACTCAGAGACCAAGATTGACTCCAGAACCAGAGAGACGAGGAAGGAACATCATCATCATCATCATCACTGTGGCACTGACATTTCTGGCGGTTCTAATTACAAACTTGATTTTCTGTGTCAAAAAAAAAAGTAAAGAAAAACAAAAAAATAATCATTTAACAAGTTTAGATGCAAAATATAATACAGATAAAAGTTTTGTTCGCTTGAGTTTGGTTGATGAAATTTTACCACCACAGAAACATCAGGTTAGATTTAATAACCTGATTATTGATTAGTAAAATGTTACATTGTAATGAATTATTCAGTCGTAATAAAAATGTTTATTGTTATATATATTGTATATTTTAGATTTCTGATGCTTCATGACAAATTTAAATGAATATTCACAAACTGAAAATATTTCCTTCATGTTTTTCTGTAACTTTAATGTCAGTAAATCAATAAACTGATTGCAAACGTCTGTCTGTGTGAACATGTGGAGTTTAAAGGTTAATTTCTACATACAGTCTGCAGAAATCTCAGAGCAGCTGGAAAATATTTTAGTTTCTAAGTTTTTAAAAAAAAATATTAAGAGATTAAGAACTAAAAATACATTTAAATATTTGCTCATATTTTTCTCACTTAGGAGAAAATGAAATATTAATAAATGAGTAATTAGTGTTTTAACTCTGGTGGTTATGATGCATCTGAGAGTCTGTTGGATTGTAAAGACTCTGATATTATTATTATAAAGCTTTTGTGTTGATGCTCATAGAAGAAACAAACAGCAAATTAATCATTTTAATTAATAAGTTTTATAAAGTACAAAAATTCAATACAAAAATTGATCAGCTGATGGACGTCCAGATATTGATCATTTCTGAAGCAGCAGCTCCTCTTCATCACTTTCTATAAATAAACTCATTTGGCCTTAATGTGGGTTTTACCGTTTTGTTTTTGTCCAGCATTTTGTTATATAATCAATAAAACAAACAATTTATCATAAATGTTAGAAGATAAAACTTAACGGTGAATATTAATGATGGACAAAATATAAAAACAGAACAAATCAAACTGAACGGATCCAGTCGGTCCATCACTCAGACCTTCAGCTCTATAAGCTCACAGTTTCCTAACTCCACCACCAGGTGGCGCTCCAGTAGAACCCTTGATGGTAGAACTGGTCTGAGGTCAGATCCAGCAGCTGGACTGGTTCTGCTGAGGTCCAAACGGCTGCAGCTCATGTTGGATGTTAAAAGGTTCTGCAGAGAATCAGGTTCTGACAACATGAGGGAAGAAATCTGGATTTATTTACAGCAGAACCTTCAGAACCAGAACCAGTGGAGCAGATCCAGAACTTCACTGGTTCATCAGCTGCTGCAGCTTAAAGCATCTAAGATCAGGGTTCTGGTTCTGGTTCTGGTTCCAGGTTCTGGTTCTGGTTCTGGTTGAGTCCAGAATGTCTGTTTCCAGCAGCCAGCGGATCAGAACCAGAACCAGAACATCACTCTGCTGCTGGTTCATGAACAGAAGGAAGAAAATCATATAAAACCTGAAAAACTGAACTTAACAATAAATTATAATCTTAGATTAAATTATCTTTAAGGCTCATTTATGTTGAGTTTTAGATTTAAAATCTTTCAGCTGCTGAAAAAAATCAACTAAATAAATTAATTTGTTGTTTGATGCTGAAAATTTATATTCCTCTAAATCTGATCAAATTGTTTCTAATGATAAAGTGACTGAATTATCTCTTCTCTCTTTATAATTATTAAAATTAACATCTACTGGTTTACAACATTTCACTAAAAATAATAAAGAAGAAAAATCAAAGCTGCTGCTGTCAGTCCCACAGAGACGATGATGATGATGATGAAGATGATGTTCATCCATTCTTGTTCTTCTGGTTCTGGAGTCAATCTTGGTCTCTGAGTTTGGATCTGATCAGCAGCTGCTGGGAGAGAAATCAGAAATATTTATTAATATTTGATGGAAACTGAGATCCAGGAGGATTCATGGAGAAGATGAAGATGTTGGTTCATCAATACAGGAATCAGAATTTATTAAAGTTTCTAAAAATATTTGTTTACATATTAATGGTTTCTTCTCACCAGTAACGTTGAGTCGACATCTTCCAGAGTTGAATCCATCTTCAGTTTTCACTTCACACAGATACAGACCAGAGTCTTCAGTCCTCAGTCTGGACACATGGAGTCTGATTCGTCCTTCTCTGAGGACGTCTTTGTCGCTCTGGACTCGTCCTGAAAACTGTTTATCCTGAGACTCTGGAATCTCAACTCCTTCATGAACCTGATAGAGAACTCGCTGTTTATCAGGAGCCAACAAGCTGCAGACGATGAACAGATTCTTCCAGGTTCCCTGAGTCTTGGTGGTGAAGGTCCACTCCAGAGTGATGTTCTGCTTCTCCTCTGCCTGATAGCTGCTCTGTGTCACATTCACTACAAATGTTGCTGCTGAGGAGACAGAGAGGGAAAGAGAGGAGCAGACACACTGAGAACTGGAACATGGGAGTCTTTCAGCTCCATCTAGAGAGCTTTCTGTCACAAAGACAAGATGGAGACTGACCACAGAGACATGAGCTGAGGATGAGGAGCAGCAGGATGCTGGACATCATCTTCATTCTGAGAGAGGAAGAGGAGGAGTGTTAATCACAATACAAAGAAACTGGATTCCTGCTACAGAATTAACTTTATATAGAAACAGATCATTACTGCTACCTTGTGGTAATAAAACTATACAGCAGTAAGACAACAGGACATGTTTTCATTCTCTGCAGCTTCTGAACATTTTATTATTAAATTTTTATATTTAGATCCATTAGATTTAAATAAAAATATTTAGATTATATTCTCTGAGCCTTCTTGTAATTTTGATGATTGTTATTTACAGACAAACTGTATAAAACCAATAAAACATAAATATCCTAAACAGAGATATCAGGTTTCTGAAAAGACTTTTCATTTCACTTTGGACTTTAATCAACTTGGTTTCTGGTTCTCTTCATTCTTCCTCTAAACTCCAGAACCTTCATGTCTGAATGAAATACAAACTTTACTTTCCTCTGGAAACAGGACTTTACGGTCCAGTTCTTCTCTTCAGGTAAGATGTTTGTATCTAGGATTGTCTCTGTGAATCCTGTGTGAAGGAGTGAACTGAGTCTGCTCTGAATCCAGCATCAGTTCACTCCTTCATCCTTGTGAAACACATCAAAATGAGAGAGTGATTTTCTGACAATCCTCTCCAGGCTGCAGTTTAATCCCTGCTGAACATTTTCCACATGTGGTGGTGAGGAGAACAGGATGGAGTCCAATCCTGTCTGAGTTTGAAACTTGAGACATGCTGGACAAAAGTGTCAAACCAGAGACACAAAACTTTCAGCCGCAAGAAATAAAAACAAGTTACAGAAGATTAAAAGTTATTATTACAGATATATGAACTGCAAAACCTGGTTTCAGGATTTAACTGTTGTGTTTTACATTTATTCACAGGAAACTTGTATTTCAGTAAAAAATTTTTTTCAACTAACTCTAAATTATAGACAAACATGTAATAAACTTACTGTTAGTTTTCTTCTTTATCAGCCTCAACATTTTGCTGCTTTGTCAGCCTTTGTGTCCAGGTCTCTGCATGACGTTGATACTGTTAGACTAGACATGGACACACCAGATCTAGACTAACAGACTGACTAACTGTTTCCGTTATGCTGTTTCTTTTATTCTCTTCTAGTTTGAAGCGGTCGAGGGAACAAATTTCTATTGGCTTTAAGAGTTTCTCCTCCTCTTCGTCCTACTGTCAGACATTCCTGACATTCTCCCTCCTCGTGTTGCAGAGCATAAAGCTGGACTCGCCCTGTGACAGGAAATTTCCCTTCCTGCTCCGTTAGACTCATCGGAATCAGTTCCAGTGGGATGAACAAAGCAAAGCATTCAGAGCTGAATGCTCCTGTTTGCTGTTGGTCATGAAAGTTGCCAACAAACTTCATTTGATTCCTCGACTCTCTGCAACTGGAAGCACATAGAAATAATTAGTCTGTTATTTCAGATCTGAGCTGCAGAGATCAGCAGCAAAGCTTTGCATTTCTCTGAAACGATACGATTTCAACGCTGGAGAATCATGAAGGTTCAGAGGCAGAAAAGTTTCTAGGCTTTTCTCCGAGCAGACCTTCACTCCGGCGGCGTGGGAGGAGTTAAACACGTGACTCCGCCCACAGTTCAAATACTACCAGCAGTTTTACTAAATATAAACCGGAAGGTCAAGTTCCGGAATTATTTCATTTGACACATTCAACAGTGATGATTCACTGAATGGTGATGAATGTATGTTGAGACATTAAATGTTTTCTCATCAGAAACTTTGTTTATATATTATTTTTATTCCACTGTAGAAATAAACAAGAGCAAAAAATAATTATAATTTAGTTAAAAAGTTCAACACTTAATTCAGAAAGTAAAACTATTATATATTATATCGACTCACATATTCAGATAATAAACTCTAGTGTCTCTGAAAAATGTTTAATATTCTAGAATATACAGTAAAATATTGATTCCAAAGTTTTCTGGACTCATTGATCAGTTCTGATGTTTGGTCTTAAAGCTGTTTAATTGATGCTCTTTGTTGCTGAGCATAAAGTTTATTATCTGCTCCAGTTGGTATTTTCATATTGTTCTCATGTTATTAATAAATCCATATTCATGCAGACTTGCTGTCAGGAAGGTGATTCACTGTTGAGATGTTTGTTTCCAGAACTGAGATCAGCTCTATCTGAGCTTTTCACTAAACGTTGCTTCTCCCTCTAGTGCTGAAAAGTCGCCAAGACAAACAATATAATAAATTGTCTCCAAATAATCAAGGAAAATAGAAAAATAAATCTTGGAACGATTGAAAACGTGAAATCTGAATTCATGTTTCTTTATGTGGCTTCAAAGAACAAAACAATCAATCAATGAATCAATCAATCAATCATCTCCACCCACTCAGAGGATGAATCAGACTCCAGGTGTTCAGACTGAAGACGGTTTCGTCTCTGAAGATGCCGACTCAGCGTCTGGTGATCTCAGCTGAAGGTAAAATGTTTTCCAGGATTTTCTGTGAAATGATTCCTGCTGGAGTTTGGACCATAAGAACTGATATTGTTGTTTCACTGCAACTTGAACAGCAGCTGGACTGAGAAAATGATTCAGGTGGGATTTGAACCCTCATATTTTTGCCAATAAGAACCAAAACATGAAGAGGAGAAATTAAAAGTCCAGATCAGGACGAGCAAAAACAGCCTGGAAAACATTTTAGTTTCTAAAAGTAGAGTTTGAATAATAATAATAAGTAAATATATTTTTGTTACTCTGGACATTTTAAAGAAGATGAAATGACTGTGAGCTGCAGCTGGACGGGTCAGCAGCCAGACACAACAGAACAAGGATTTATGGAAATAATCAATATTTCCCTTGTTGGAGCCGTCAGTAATCCTTTATTGATCCTCATCATTTTCTTTATGATTTTACATCAGAAAAAACAAAAAAAAACATCTGGAAAACTTCCTGACTCACCTCGTTTAGTTTATAAAAGTTATCAAACAAATGTCACATAAAGTCACATAATTTTACAGTAAATTCATAAATATTCATGAATAAATAGTCAAAGTGAACTACAAATCTACAGCAACAGGAAAAGTAAAACCAAAGCAGGAAAGTTTTAGCTTTAAACAACAACAACTTATTTACAGACTCATAATAAATGAGCAGAAACTTCAACAGCAGCTGTGAAGCACAGTGGTGGAGGAGTCATGATGTGGGATTGTTTTGCTGTCAAAACTGGAGATCATGATCTCTTCTGTTACCAAAGTAGAATCTAAAGTGAGTTCAGGATCCATCGGCTGCTTCCTGAAGCTTCAGGGTTCAATTAAACAACTGATATAAAATTCATCATCAGCCGGTTCACTGGAAAAGTTCTGGATTTATGTTTGATCAGTAAAACTATGATTGTTGCTGCTGCTGCTGCTGCTGCTGCTGCTGCTGCTGCTGCTGCTGCTGCTGCTGCTGCTGCTGCTGCTGTCAGTCCCAGTGAAACATAAAGACCGTCCCGTCCTCGACTTTCTGACGCTGAATCTTCTTTCTGATGATGGAAAATTCCAGAAGAAGCTGCAAAAAACCAAAAGATAAAAACTGATCAGAGAAACTGATGTTTGCTTTACTGTCTGTGGCTTTTCTGGAGTTTGAAATCATTCAACAACATTTTAAAGATGAGTTGCAACGTTTTGCACAGCTCATGTTGATCCTTGTTGTTCTTTCAGTCTGCCAGGTGGAGGTGGTAGAGGGGGCGGAGTCTGTCCTGCTGCCATTCAGGACGACACGCCAGCTGCCGGGAGATTCCCATGTGGAATGGAGTTTTTTGGACAAGATGGTCCATATAAACATAAACGGTTCTGACAAGCCTGAAGAACAGGCCCAGTTCTTCAGAAGCAGAACCATGATGAATGAAGACCTGCTGGATTCTGGAGACCTCAGCCTGACTCTGAAGCAACCCACAGAGGCAGACAGTGGACTATAAATGCATATTCGACAGCAGGACTATCTGGAGAGTGAAAACAGTCCGTCTCAAAGTGAAAGGTTGCTTTACTTTCTGGCTCTCTTGTTCGTCTGACTGTTTGTCTGACTGACTGTTCTGTGTCCTCAACAGGAAGATCTCAAGTTCAGGATCACAGAGAAGACATGAGAAGAAGAGGAAGCTCCTCTGATCCAACTCCTCTGATGGTTGATCCGTCACTCTAATCATTGCATTGTTGCTAAATTACTGATCCAGTTCTATGTTGGATCACAGACAAAATCCCCTAAAATTGACAAAGAGTAATCTTTACCTCCTGATTCTTGTGCCAATATGCAGAATGGATATTTATTTGCACTGTTGCCATGCAGTAAGAAGGTCCTGGGTTCAATTCCAGATCTTCTGCATGGAGTTTGCATGTTCTCCCTGTGACTGTGTGGGTTCTGCATCATGGTTGTTTGTCCTGTTTGTCTCTGAGTTGCCCTGCGACGGATGGGCAATCTGTCTGGGGTGACACCACCTGACCCCTAGTGGAGAGGCACCAGAACTCCACTAGGGACAAGCATGTCAGAAAATAGATGGATGTCATTCATTGTACTTTTCAAGATCTTAGATAATCATTGATCTGTTCTGTTATTAAAATGCTGAATCAGCTCATGGAGATTGTTACCAAGATAAAAGATCTTCATCTGATGTATTTATTCTGATGAGGATTTTCAGATGTTGAGAATCACTAATAGCATCATATAAATATTAATTATTCATACAGCCATAATATCTGCCATCTGATCAGCCTGATCACCGTAAACATTCACTCATTAATGCACTTTTCATACAAGATTTCCACAGATGAACCAGACAATGTGTTTCTTTACTTCAAGCTGCTTCAGTCAGTTGATTAAACCAACATCTGGTTCAACAAGTTGGTTCAAATGATTCTTTTCCTGCTGCTTTTTCATCTATTGTAAGTAAATTTGTTTACCAGAAATAAATCAATAAAGTTGAGAAGACAAGGATGCAGAATAATAATGTTCACCAGAATCAGACAAATCCATGAAGATCCAAGCAGGAAGTAAAATGATGTTACCTCAGCAGAGATCAGCTGCAGTGTGTGTTTTGTCCACATGGTGGCGCTCTAAGCTCTGACTACAAGCTGCTCAGCAGTGAAAGTTAATATTTCTCCTCCTTTCTGTCTTTATTCAGTTCTGATGTGAAAACACAGATGTAGAAATGTTTCTTTTAATAAAATGTGTTTATTTCTGACAGCTTTAATACGTGATTATTGAATATTGATCTGATCAGCTGATCAGCAGCTTCATCCTGATGCTTCACTCACTGATCTTCACTTCAGTTTACAGGAAACAACATGAAATAGTTTAGTAACATTTCTGGTTTTAATGGATTTTAATGCATTAATTGAACATCTTTTATCAGATTCTATGTTTCTACTTCCTGTTTATTTATTTAACTTTAAAGATAAAGATCCAAATGAGGGAAAAGTTTGAAAAACACTGAAAACAGAAACAAGAAAAGTTTAATATTTTATTAGCTCAGTATCAAAATATCAAAATACTGAAATTATTGTTGAAAACAGTTTAAATGTTGATGTGATCAGAAATTCAACAATCCAAACTAGAACTGTAATTTAACAGAAATAAATTCTCACTAAACCTGAATAATAAAGTTTATAATGTTTGGAAGGAATAATGTACAATTAATGTGGAATCAATTAAAAATAAAGAAAGAGAGAATTAAAAAAATCTGTTGGAAACCTAATATAACCTGTCAGATGAAATGAGAGCTGCTGAACCAGAACAGAACTGAGCTGCTATTATTATTAAATTCTTTACTGTTTGACTTCCTGCAAAGTGAGGAAGATGTGAATATCTTAAGGTAACAATCAGAGGAGGCAGCAAACTGTGCAGAATCTGCAGTACGATCCTGCAGGATTGTTGTTGTTTCAGTGTAAAAATATCTGCTGTACCTGAAAGCTGTTTCCGGTTTAAGACCCGTTTGAGCGAAAAGAGCCAAAATGTTTCTGACAGCAGGAAACAGACCAGGAAGTCCAGAGAGCGGGAGAAATGAATCATGCGTTCAGGTAACCTCGGACGTTGAATTTATTAGAGACAAATTAAACTGATTGTAACAAAAAATATCCAAGCAAAAATAAAAAGTTTCATTGTGAATATCAGATGCATCTCATCAAGCATATTCTTAAAAACCGCAGTAAGAAGTTCAGTCTGTGTGTTTCTCATTAAATCAGTCTGTCCGAGGCGTCCTTAAATGCATCATCGTTCTTATTCCAGTTTATCCTGTTACTTGCAGTCAGATCTCTGGACTGCAGCAGATGGGTGGAGTTCATGTCTCGGAGATTCTGGTATGTCTGATTTATTTCATTTGTTGTCTCAGTTTTTCAGTGTGACGTGTTTCATTGAGGAGGATCAATAACTCAGCAGGAAAACAGAAAAGTTTCTACAACAGACAATCATCCTGGCTCTGATCAAACCTGCAGCCTGTTTCTAAATGCAGCATAGAGCTTAAATACTAGAACATGATCATAGATCTACTTCTTGTTTTCTTCCTCAAACTGATCAGCGGACTCGGATGATGAAGACTTCTGATGAAGATGATCAAACTTCTTAAGGTTTTTGTTCAGAGAGACAATTAACTGAAAAATAACATTTTTATCATTCACTGGTAGAGCTTTGCTGCAGGTGGAACTGAGTTTAATTTAAATGTTCTGCAGATAAATGAAGCCAATAATCAATAAGGATTAAACGTTGATCTGCGGATGGGAAAAGCTACAAAGTGATTGATTGGTTTTGTTTAGAAGGTGGGAAATGTTGCCTTTTTTTCAGAAGCCTTCAGATTAACTAGTGAATTCAATAAAGACTGGAGACAAACTGAACGTTCTCATGTTTTATTGAGAACAAATAAGAGCCAAAAACTAACACAAAGTTTCTCCTTCAGCAAACTCACAAACATGTCGACACGTGTCTCCGTCATGTGGTGAACATGAAACATGACACCAAACAACACAGGAAATGTATTGGTCACGTGGTTTTCCTAACCGACTCGGGGTTTCATCTTGTTCGCTCTGCGCATGTGCCGAGGTTTCTGTTGTCTGGTCCATCACTACTGTCTTCTAGAGAACTACGGACACCGTGAAGGCTCAAACAAAGTGTTTCAGCAAAGTTATCCCACTTTTTTACAACTGCGGCTAATCAGACGCACATAGTGCGGGTTTTCCATCAATATCTGGGGAAACGCTGCTGTTTATTTATGGCCACCAGGTGGCAGTATCACTGTCTATTTATTATACTGACTTTACCATAACGTATTCAAAACAGATTAGAACCAGAAATTTCAAGAGTTTCAATGTGAAGAAGCTGAGGTCAAAGGTCAGACTGAGTTGCTATGAGTCCAATTGTTCCTTGTATTGTTCCAGATGTTCCTGATGTTGTGCTGCCTCTCCTCCTCTTCCCCTTCCTCTTCAGGATGAAGATGATGTCCAGCATCCTGCTGCTCCTCATCCTCAGCTCATGTCTCTGTGGTCAGTCTCCATCTTGTCTTTGTGACAGAAAGCTCTCTAGATGGAGCTGAAAGACTCCCATGTTCCAGTTCAGTGTGTCTGCTCCTCTCTTTCCCTCTCTGTCTCCTCAGCAGCAACATTTGTAGTGAATGTGACACAGAGCAGCTATCAGGCAGAGGAGAAGCAGAACATCACTCTGGAGTGGACCTTCACCACCAAGACTCAGGGAACCTGGAAGAATCTGTTCATCTACTGTGAAGTGAACACAGATCATGGAGTCTTAGTTCTCTATCAGGTTCATGAAGGAGTTGAGATTCCAGAGTCTCAGGATGATCAGTTTTCAGGACGAGTCCAGAGCGACAAAGACGTCCTCAGAGAAGGACGAATCAGACTCCATGTGTCCAGACTGAGGACTGAAGACTCTGGTCTGTATCTGTGTGACGTGAAAACTGAAGATGGATCCAACAAGGCAGGATGTCAACGTTACTGGTGAGTTATTTGGGGTTTATTTTACTTTCTATTAACTTTTATGTCTTTATTGAGCATAAATGACTACTATATTAGTGAAATGTTTTAGCTTCTTTATTAAAGTTCATGTTTGATCACATCTAAGCTCTAGAGGTCAGAAGGTCGACTCAGCATAGAGTTGTGAATTCAGCTGATCTAATAGATGAAAACTGATTCTATCATAATTCTGCTGAAGCCAAAAGTGCAACACATAATTTTTTCATTATCAAAGTGAAACTGTGAAGATAAAAGTTAAATTGGTACAAGGGATAAATTATCTACAGTTTCTGTGCCAGCTTATATCATCAGTAGAAACATATTTAGTATCTTCAATACTGGGCCAGTTCCAGTCTATGGGGCCACTGCCCCTTTAGATTCATCCTGAGTACGGCCATGTAAAAGGACTGGACTGATGTAACAACACATTTCCACAGGCTGATGAAAGTAAAGGGTTCAGTGGATTTTCTGCTGAGAGCAAAACATGCAGCTTCTATGTTCATCTGTAAGCAAAATCGCTCCACAACCAAATGCTCAGCTGGAAGACAATAAACAGCAGATGATACATTTCATTCAATGTTTCCCAACAAATAAAATGTAGTGGCATCAAAACCTGCTGTGCATCAGAGCCTCCAGTCCAGGCTGGTTTGGTTTAGTGACCTGCTGCAGTTATTATAATCTGAAATGATATTCATTCATGTCCTGAACTGATGCAAAGTTTCCCCCCATGGACAGACAGTTTCTCTACAGACATAACAATTAGAAGTAGCTGGATTTCTTCAGTAAAGAATAAAATAAATTAAGATCACAATGTTACTGGAAATCACCTCGACTCTTGACCAAGTCATGGGTCTGAACATATTGAAAGCAGCAACATTAGGTGGCGCTCTTGCACAGTTTCTGTTGGGATTTTGTGACAATCTTAAAATATGTAAATTTCCTGAAGGTTTGATGCGTCTGCCAAGTTTGGTGAGTTTTCAATAAAGTAAAACCAAATCAACTAAAAGACTGTTAAAGGGAGTCCTGACTATTTTCTCCAGTAAAATATCTGGTTTTATTTTTTATGAGTTAAACATCAGTAATTTTACAGAAGTAAATAAATAATTAGTAGATTTACTTTTATAAACAAAATAAAAACAAAACCTTTATTTTGAAAAACCTCTATTAATGGGATAGATTCATTTTCACAATTGTAAAGATCCTACAGGAGAATAAGTATGAATGTTATCTGAACAACAAACAGGAATATTAGTGTTGATTTATTTTATCTTTTATTCTTCCAGATCCAGTGAAGGTTGTTGGTCATGATCCGATTCATGCAAAGGTTGGAGACGACGTCATTCTGCCATGTCATCTGGAGCCTCCATATTATTTGACCACATTTACAATCGTATGGAGATTCAAGGATGAAATAATCCATGTGCATCGCAGCCAAACTAAAGATGATGAAGCTTCAGATCCAGAGTACAATGACCGAACCTTCATGTTCCCTGATGAGTTTGAAAAAGGCAACATTTCCCTCAAATTGACCAAAGTCACCAAGGAGGATGAAGGGAATTATATTTGCTTTGTTCCCAAACTGCAAAGTCAAGACAGGAAGGGAAACGTTACTCTAATACTTGGTGAGTTATATAAAATTAAAATCATTAATTTTATATTAAATGATTTTAATATAAAATCATTTAATATTAAAATATTTTGATGTCTTTAACACTTAATGTAATTATTCAACAGTTGAAAATGCAGCACAACGCGACTCGACTGCTACTGGAGGTAAATATGTTTAACTAGGTAACCAGTGAGGTTAAGACAGAGGGAAGAAGGAGTAGTGATCCCTTGTACTTTTCTGTAAATGTCTACATACTTATTTGGCCAAACCATATAGTGCAATACCATATTACTGGTCGATTGTCAAATTTTTATATTTCCTTTTGTGCTGTATTTATTTATATTTTTTCCTTGTTTATTTCTTGTTTAATTTAGGTTTTGGCGACGTACATTTAGTGTGTATCTGTATTTAATCTGTGTTTTTTAGTATTTTGCTTACTGTGTGTTACTATTTTCTGTGAGCTGCTGGTAACTTCAATTTCCTGAGGGAGTCTTCCCAAGGGATCAATAAAGTACAAGCGTAAGTCAGTGGTTACTGGCCCTCTGACTCAGTTTCAGACTTTCTTTGTTACCTGCAGCCATTGAGGCTCATTGGGTTGAATATTCATCTTCAGGCTTTTCCTGTTATAACATGTTGATGTTCAGCTGGGAAGATAAAACCTGGAGACCTGTGTGTGTGTGTGTGTGTGTGTGTGTGTGTGTGTGTGTGTGTGTGTGTGTGTGTGTGTGTGTGTGTGTGTGTGTGTGTGTGTGTGTGTGTGTGTGTGTGTGTGTGTGTGTGACAGTGTGTGATGCAGTAACTGTGACACCTGAACTTTGATCTCATTAATAAAACAAAATGCAAAATCTAATTCAAAATATTCAAAAGCGGATTGTTAAAAACACGTTTTTCTTTTTTGTCACAGTACCTGATGCTGGAGTTATTGTTGGTACTTTTGTTGGTGGGGCTGTTCTAGCAGCACTCATCATCATCATGATATTCTGTTGTACGTTGCTGCAGAGGTGAACCAAGTAAGTCAGTCTTTGTCTTTTTAAGTCATGCAGGATTTTGGTGAATTAATGATTATCTCCATACATGTGGAAATGGATCAATTCCAGATTAATAACTTCTGTTAATTATTTCCTGTTTTATTTTCCTGCTCAGTGATAAACTAAGCAGTTACTTCATATAGATGTATGAATGTGTTTGTGTTGCTGCAGTCACTGAACATCACAGCTGAGCATCAAACCAGGAAGCTGAACTTCCTTGTTAGTGACTGAATGTGACTGACTAGATATTAGATCATTGATGTAGCAGCAATGAACTGGTGACCTGACTGGGTTCATCATGGCTCACCAGTATTCCCACTGACCTGAACAGGATATGAAGGTTTAGACCAGAGGGTCCAACCTGTGGATCCAGACGCACTAAAGAGAAACAGCCAGAAAACAACAACATTCATTCATAAAATGCTACAAATTAAACTATTATTTACTGCACATAACTCAGATTTTCTCTTCTTTGTTGTGTTTTCTTCAACAGAGAAGCTGATAGCTAATAAATCATGTTTAAGATTATAATTAGAGCTTAATGAGAGACATTTCTTCTGCCTTCATTAAAGTTATATTTTTAATCTGACATCTGAATATACATTAAATATTCAGTTTAATATGACCATGTTTACATTTTATTGTAATGCTTTGGTTTCTGGATTGTTTATTTTTGTCAACAAACATCTGGAAACAAATGAGACAAATAATTTCAGAAAAAGTCAAGACTTTAATGCTTTACTTTATTTATTTTTTTGATTAATGATAATTTTATTTATAAAAAAACTAAAATGAGAGTTTGAGAAAAACTGAATGCTGTTTTTATTCAAGCCATCATAATAATAATGTAACTTTGGGAAATCAAACAATCAGATGATGTTATTAATAAAATGTTTTGTGTTTCATAGATCATAGAGAAAATGTCAACCGAGGAAATGAAGAAGAAGAATATATTTACGGGACCGAGAACAACCAACTAAAAAGTTAGAATCTTCCAGCTGATCTAAAGTGTCTTAAACCATTGATGGTATGAAAACTGTTACATATTTATAACTGTGAATAATAATAATATAAAAAACTGTATGTCTTAAACCCAGAAGGAAGCCGTTCATATTAGGTCTAAAATTTAATCATCTTTTTTTAGATTAAAATAAACGATGCAAGAATCATGTAAGTTAAGTCCAAAGATGTTCTGTAGTTTAGAGTTTCTTACTCAGATTTTGATAAATTTTGTCTTAAAAAGTTTTTTTAATATCTGCAAAAGCTGACAGACTTGATCCCCAGCTTGTGCCTTCAAAAGGTTTTTATTTAATTTCTGTCAGTGAATCTTATTTTTTGTGTAGTTTTTAAAAAAAAAAAATACACAAGTCTGAACAACTGGTAAGTTGTTCATTGTCCGAGACTCTATTAAACTGCTGTTGTCACATTAAATATGTAGAAGTCAAACTTTATACAAGTTATTATGACAACATTATTCAAAGTGCTAAACAATAAGGAGCTCAAAACAAATCAGATTAAACAGTTAAAAAAATATAGTTGATAGTTGATGATTTTCAACATTTACAGAGTAAACACTGTTTACTCTGTTTACTGAGTAAATCAAACAATCACTGGTCAATCTATCTGCCAAATTCTTATATTTTTTTGTGTTGTATTTATATTTATTCCTTGTTTCTTGCATAATTTAAGGTTTTGGTTACTCACATTTAGTGTGTACCTTAGTATTTAACTTGTATTTTTGTATTCTTTTGCACTTTGCTCACTGTGCGCTATCTTTTTTTTCTTTTTTGCCTGTAAGCTGCTGGTAATTTCCTGAGGGAGTCTTCCCAAGGGATCAATAAAGTGCAAGTCTAAGTCAATCTTTCTGCTATACATAGGTAAGGAGACCAACTTTGACTCCAGAACCAAAGAGACAAGGAAGGAACATCGTCATCATCATCATCATCATCATAATCATCATCATCATCATCATCATCACTGTGGGACTGATAGCAGCTCTAAAGTCTCTAATTCTAATATTGATTATTTGGTTTAGGAAGAAAAGGAGAAAAAGAAACCAAAATTTTTGACAAAAAACATTTTTGTTTGAACTTTTTCTCTTTCACATATTATATTTTAATAATGACTTTGAGTCGTTTATTGAATATCTTCAGATTCATGTTTTAAATCATTTCTGGTCTATAACCAGAAACAAAGATCTGTTTTTCTGTTACTCAGATGAATTTATTCCGTTTCACTTCATGTGTTTTTGGAGAGACCAGTGGTGACAACAGTATTAAGAGTTTGTCCTGAAATTAGCATGTTGCTGGTTCAAATCTGCCTCTTTCTTAGTGTCTTTGAGCAAGGCACTTCACCTGCCTTACCTACCAGTGGCATCGACCCGCAGCAACCGCTGCTAAATTGCTCCAGGGCAGCTGAGGCTGTTATTGTCACCATCAGTGTGTGAATCGTTGTGAAGAATTTAAAAGTACAAGCCATAGTTAATGTTTTATGAAAATAGTAAATTAGAGCTGTAATTTATTATTTAAACATTATTGTTATTTTGTAGCTTAAGGCCTGTGTGGTTTTGCTTCTTCATCATTGATCTCATAATTAGTGTGTGTTGGGTCATTGATTGTAGAAAAGTTATAAATGTACATATTGAGGTTTTATTAGAAAACTGTTATTTATTCAAAGTATCCAAACTTGTTTTGCATAAGTTTATATTTTTGATTAAATGTGTTTTTCTTCATTTTTGTGTATTTAATGAGCCTCAGTGAAATACTCACTATTTACTTGTTTCAACTTTAATGTCTAATTATGAGTCAATCTGCTCTTTATTTGGGCTGCAGGTCAAATTTATGAAACTGGGAAAATATAACAAACTAGTTTGTCTTTAAATGAATAAAAAAACTGTTTGTTTCTATTTACATATTTTACATGTTGTGTTACTATGATTACAACAGGTAATCAGTAGTTATTATGATATTATGTTGGCTTTGTATCTAATAAAGTTCTGTATTTTATTTAAGATCAGCTTTATTCATATATTTTTACCAGGTCAAACTAATCCTGCCCCCTAGTGGCGACAGATGGTTCTGTAGGTTAGAAACATTCTGTTGGTTTATTTGCCCATTTTGTCTGAAAGTTTCTTTTAATCAACGTATAATAATTAGTTATGATTAAAAACAATCCAGCAAAAATACAGAAACTGATTCCGTGAAATAAACAGGTGGCTGAACGTGTGTCTGCACCTTTAAGAGACACAGGAAGGACGATGACGTCACAAGGTGGGCTGAAGACAATACCTTAACCCAGAATCAGGAAGTTCAGGAAGATTTTCTCTGATCTTCAACTCGGTTCATCTGAAACGGTCAGTTTTAATTCATGTTTTCAGATTTAAAGAGTTTTTAAAATTCACGCATTAAATGAAGGTTTAGTTAAAGTTGGAACAAAGTTTCGGCAGCAATATTATCACAATTCTTCATGTTTCTGTTCCACTTTGTTTCTTTTCTTGTTGCATAAAATATTTTTATATAAATAACAAACGGAATAAACTCTGAAGAGGTTTTGACTAGACAGATGAAATAAAGCAGAATGCGTTGATTTTTGTAATACGGGCCTATTATTCATAACTGCGCTGCTTTTTGCACGAAGGTTTCGGTTCAAAGGTCATTTCAGCTTTTAGTTATTAAATATTTGATATAAATGCATATTTTCTCTGCGTCATGTTTGCAGAAAAAACGTCCGTTGTGTATAACAGCGATCATTAGAGAAACACTCAGTGAACTAAGATGTTTAGTTTCACTTTGATCAAACATGTTTTTAACAGTTTTATCATACTTAAAACTTCTCTCTGTTTTCTGCATGACTTTTAAACTAAAACTGAACTTTAAACTTATTAAGCGTCTGCAGATCTGATCAAAGCGAAACATTTTATTTTCCTCCATTTTGTGTTTCATCTGGACGCCATATTGAAATGATGATCCTCTGTAATCATCACGTGATCAGAGATCAATAGTAACTAGTTACATTTACTCAGTTACATTCACTTGAGTAACTTTTTAGAACAAATGTACCTTTAGTTGTTTTCATTACTTTTTACTTTTACTTGAGTTTTTTTATTATGATGTTTTTCTAACTTGAGTCAAATTTCTGGATTTTCTACCCACTGAATAAAAACCAAACATGTTTTAACCAAGAATTAAACACAAACCTGCAGTTTTTGTTAAAGTTTTATAAGTTTTTTATGGAAAGAAACTGATTTGGAAAAAAAATGATAAATTCTTAATTTTGTTATTTTGTTGTTATTTAAATTATTGTCATTTTTGTCCTTAAAATATAAAAAAATTCCTCAAATCTTTATGTTTTGGTTTGTCTGATTATGTAATTTTAAATATTAAATGATTGATAATTTGATCAGTAACTTTTTACCAAACATTATTTTATTCTGACTTGAGTATAAATATGTTGAAGTAGTGCTACTGCTATTGGAGTAAAATGTTTTGGTCTCTGCATGTGATAACTTGTAGAAATAATGTCTATAATTAATGTGTTTTATTATTTCTAACAGAGCATCAATGCTGAACCGGACCTCCTCGTCTCTCCTGGTTCTGATTCTGTGTTCTGCTGCTCTGGGTGAGAAAATATGACTGAATGTTTGAAACTGAACTTTAACTCAGAGCATGAAGGACGTCTCAGGTTTCTAGGAATAATTAGCAGATCTGATATCACTGGATCTATTTCCTGTCAGTGTTTTGATCACAACTTTTCATCTGAGCCGTTAAATAAACTTTTACCTGAAGCTTCGTGAGAAAATGTTTTAAATCGTCCGTCAGCGTCTGAAACATCAAATCCTGGATATTTGGAGGTGTGATGATGCATCAGATTATCAGAACTACTTCATCAAAGTGTTTCTGAGGATTTGTGTTGTGATTTCTTGCTTCTGTCTCTTTCTGACTCCTGCAGGAAAATCTCTGCCCACCGTGAATGAAACTCTGGACGTCTACGAGGCCAAGGAGAACTCCAACGTCACGCTGAAATGGATCCGTCCGGATCCGAACGCCACGCCGCCTGACCGGCTCTACGTCCATCTGATGAGCATGGAGCCGCTGAGGAGGATTTATCGGTTCGACAGCAGAGATGAGACGTACACAGATGATGAGTTCAAAGGTCGACTGCACTGTGACCCCCAGCTGGTCAGGAATGGAGGGATCCGGTGTCTCCTGGCTGAAGTGAGGCTCAGCGATGCGGGTCGGTACCGGTGCTACGTCGTCATTGACGGAAGAAGAGACCATAGAGACTGGGAGCTTGTAGTCAGAGGTGAGTTTTTACTGATAAAAATGATTTAATCTTTATTTTCTGGTCTTTTTATGTTTTCCACTTTATTTTTGGGTCTGAAAAGCTGCATTTTCATTACAAATGTTTATTACAAACTGTCTTTGATATTTCACAAATGTAAAAAATGAAGAAAAAAAAGAAAATATTTTACAGATACAGTGTTTCCATTGAATAAGAAATACAATTAAAATCACATGTGAATAATTTTATTCATGCAATAAGTCATTAAAAACATGGATGAGTCAAATGTTAAGACCCAGAAAATTCTTCTTCTTCTTCTTAAATGCGTTTTTTCCAAAATCGGGTTGTTTCCATGAAGCAAATTTTCTTTCATAATTTCATTTTACAGAGTTTTAACATCAATGGAGACACAGCTACTGATTTATTCTTGATTCTTTCTTTGCAGCTTCCATTCCTCAGACTCAGGAGGAAACCCAAGAGCTGGTGGATCGCGGGAGGTTTGGACTTTATGTTGGTTTGGGTTTGTTCCTGCTGGCAGCAGGACGACTCGCCCTCCACTCTGCTGCTGGTTCAGGTTTCAGGTTCAGCTCATCAAACTCCAGGACATAGATTCACCAAAAATCCACAATCACAATCAGTCCCAATATATATATATATTTTTTTATCATGACCTGATTTTGTGTTAGAGGAGGCCTTATGACCTTATGACCTTATGACCTCCCCAAAGATTGCCCCGTCTTCAGTCCCTATTGGACTTGGAGGTCCAGATTCTGTGTGTTTTATGGTTTCCAGAAACTGAGTTCTGCAGAATGAGCAGAACTTGTTCTGGAAATATTTTTGTTCATTACAAATGCACTTTGCACTTTGCACTTTGCCGACAGCGCTACAGAAACGGTGCTGCTATCAGTGGAATCACGGGTGGGAAATATTACACTGAGAAAACAGTTTCTACCTCATAGAAGTAGCGCATAAACATGGCCGACCGTCGTTCTTCCTTTGGCCAAAAGGTTGGTGAGACGATTTACGGCCATGTCACAGGTTGTGGTGTCGTTGAGCCAGACACCAAATCCCTGAACTAGCTACCTCGACGGCTCGGATGTAGGAATGTAGACTGAGGTCTTATTTTAAATAAGCTTGTTTACAAAAATGCTATGCATGGAACAAGGTCAGATGTTACTGATGTTTAACTGTGATGTGATTCGTCTAATTTTGAGACGACAATCAACAAAGTGTCAATAAGCAACAAACTGAATCCTTGAATAAGCTACCTCCATGGAGGAAAAGGTATTAACCGGTTTCCATGGCTGTAAAGCAGGAAACATGGCGGACCATGTATGGCTCATCCTTCAGTTCAGAGGTTTGAGGCCAAAGAAACTCTGAGTCTCTTGGCCTCAAACAGAAAACTAGATCACGTCTGAATGGCTTTAAGCTGTTAAAGTGGTCATAGAGGAGAAGTGCTTTGTGGGAAATGGTGTTTTGTAGAGGAAAACTGTAAATGCCAGAAATGCAAAGATGCATGATGATCATTTTGGTAAAGAATACTGCTGCCCCCTTGTGGTCAGAAACTGGAACACGAACCAAACTGGAAACACAGCCGTAAATAAGATTTTTAGTTCAGCCTCAGTTTGAAGATCTGAACTGCAGATGTTACAGTTTCTTTGTCTTTATCTGTAATATTGAGACAATAATTATTGATGATGTTGTTTCAAGTCACTGAAATGACAACTCAGCTGCCTTGATGTTCAGTTTCAGTTCAAGCAGCAGAACAAATAAAAATGCTGAATGAATTTGAGACGATGAAAGTTTCTAAATCAAAGAATCTCATCTTTAAATCTTTAAACTGAGTTTTCAACATGATGACGATCTGCTGGCCCGATGCACAACTGGTTTCATAAAAATGAACAAAAACAAACAAATTGTCATTTCTGGCTGTTAAAACATATAAAAAAATATTCATTAGGATCAAATGTTGACCTGAATGGTTTAATTATTCTATATAATCTGTTGGTGGTTCAATCCAACGACTTTAAATCTCCAGATTCTCTCATTAAACTTTATTGATCACTGATGTGAAAAACAGCATCAAACCAGCAGCTTTGCTCTCATATTGAATGAAACATTTTCTCTTTCTGTCATTTATCTCGTTCCAGTTCATTTGCTAGAAGAAAACGTTCAGGGTTAAAAAATAGGACAAGTCATCATTATATCTATATAATCACATCTGATCTATATGAGAAATTAAAGAAATATTCACAAATTGAAAATATTTCCTTCATTTTTTCTGTAACTTTAATGTCATTAATCAATAAACTGATTGCAAACGTCTGTCTGTGTGAACTTGTGTTGTTTTAACTATAAAGTTAATTTCTGCAGAAATATTGAAGCAAATACTTTAGTTTCTGATATCAGTTTTGAAAAAAGGTTAGAAGATTAAGAAGTAAATATTTACTTAGATATTTGTTCAGATTTTTATTTTTTTTAGAAAATTATAGAAATATAAATAAATAAATTTCAAGAGGTGGTGATGTCATGATGTGGGCTGATAATAATCAAGGCTGACTAGTAAAGATTCACAAGTCAATATAATACTTATATTGAAAAGAAACAAAAAGCAGAATTAATCATTTGAAAATGTTAATTAACAGAAATGTTACGAAGCAGCAACATTTAAGATGTTGATCAGCTGATCTCCAGATATTAAAATGATCATTTCTGCTGGTTTTGGAGCTGCAGCTCCTCTTCATCATTCTCTATAAATAAGTTGATTTAAAGGCTATTTGATGTAAACTAAAGTAATGTGGGGTTTACTTTTCATTTCTGTCTAAAATGTAACATGATCTAGAAGTTTATGTATATAGAAACTGGTTCTGTTCATCATGAACAGACATGTTGACTCTTAGATCTGGCCAAGTGTCAACATGACAGCAGGTTTGGGTTTTAGTTCTGTTTTAGACTTTGAACTGAGTCTCATTTTCAGAGTGAAAGAAAGAACATTTCTCTCTTTTTTAAAAGTACAGAAACAGATAAATGTGTTGTTAACTAATGCAGCAGCACGAAGGCTGGACTTTTACCTGAACTTCAGTAATTATCTTTAATTTGTGTTCATTTTATTCCTTATTCAGTTTCATTTTCTCTTTAAATATTCTCACCGTTTGCATTCAGTGTTTCTTATTAAAGTTCAGAGATAAATCAAAGTGAAAACCTGCTTTATTGGGTGAGAATGTATTTTATAATGTTGTAAAAATGATTAATTCTTAAATGCATTAAGTTTGATGAAAATAGTCTGAGGATTGAAAAAAGTGTCAGTAAACATTGCAGGTCTGGGCAGCACCAAGTAACCTGAGAGGATCCCTGTGAAATATCCTGATATTATTTGCCTTTTGGTGACTCCACCTATTAGCACAAATATATCTAAACTCTAGTGAACAGGGAATAGAGCTGGAAAGACCTCAGAACTCCACAGGTTTTATCCAGGCAGGTTACAGGTGAGTCAGTCTGTTCTAGTTTATTATTGGTCAGTTTTTATGTTAAAATGAAGAGGAACTCTGATAAAACATTTAGCAGCTTGATAATGATTGGTGTTGTTAATGCACTAGAACCTGTTTATATTATAAAGATCTGGTTTCTGTTGTTTTACCAAAGATGTATTTAAAATAATAAATTGACTTTCTGCATTTTAACTTCTAGAGAATCTGTTTCAGAACCACAGACAATATTTTATTGACTTTTTGTCCAAAAACTAAAATTCCAAAATTGAAAAAACTCAAATCTCAAAAGTGATCAAAGCAAAATGAAATAAACTCAAATAGTTAAAACAATGCATCGTGGGTTCTGGTTTACGCAGTCCAAAGCAAAAAGGTCAAAACAGTCAAAGTGCAGCTCTTTGTTTACTTTATTCAGTTTTTAGCTAAAAACAAGTTACAGGTTTTGAATAAACCTGCCTGAACTCCTGCACCTTTTCTCACTGATAAAACTGACCTGACAGGTAAAACCATAAGACCACGTGACGAAAGACTTGTGTATAACTTTCATGAAGATGAAATTTAATCTTTTGACAACCAGAAAATACTTGAAATATTTATTTCTTAATTAACTCTTAACTTAACATGAACCAGTTCCTGTAATCAGAATCTCTTGTTGTTGGCTGTGTTCTATGATTTTGTATTTTTGTGTTTTTATGATGTAAAGTTCTTTGAAATGCCTTGTTGCTGAAAGGTGCTATAAAAATAAAATGTAATTGATACAATGTAGAAATAAAGTCATGTTTATTTTTTAATATAACTGACATTTGATAATAAAACAGTAGAAAAGAAAAACTAAACTATTTCTAGATTTTATAACAGACTGATTTTACTAAAACTAATGTAAAACATGTCCTAATATTTTACTGCTGTGTCTATTGATCACCACAAGGTGGCAGTACTGATCTGTTTTCAAACATGAATCACATCGATGCTCTCTCTCTGTTTTGTCTTCCAGTATTAAACTCAACTTTTCCACCATGTTGATGAAATACGTCAGAATATTAAAGAAATAATTTAACAAAATCTGTCCTGATGATCTTCATCACTTCACTGATGTTGATCCATCCTGATTATTTAAAGTCTGATTTTTCTGAGCTAAAAGAGTAAAAGTGACATAAAGTTCAGAAAAATCCCCCAGAAAACTATTCTTCACTTTGTCATTTGTAAATCTTGGTGAATCATTCAATCATGATATGAAA